TCTTCAGTTGTCTAATTACTCATTCACGTCTGTCTTCTCAGTCACTTTTTCCCATTGCACTAGAGCAGGGAGTGTTTGCTTATTCACATGTTGTAATGTTGTCTAAGTCAATACATATGTTTGTGCTGCTGGGATGAAACTGAGAAGAGGTGGAACCCATTCTTGTTTTGGGCATGGCAACCTCCACTGGACTCAGAGAGAGTGCTGAAGATACCAAAGATGTCATTTCTCTAATGGAAAATTATACCTAGTACTGTGACTACTACTTACTAATCGTAACAAGCCTCGCCCAACTCAACTCTAGTACTATCTTGTTGCCACTTGTATGTTCTAGAATTTCGGTGACAGGTGATGTTGAAAAATGGCCTCAGTCGTAGTGAGGCAGGCTCTGATAGAGAGAAGTGGCTCTGGTAAAAAGACATTTGCAAATGTGGGAGGTGAGGCCATCCTGTACTCCATCTCAGTAAAGTTATTACCGACAGAAGATTCTGGGATGTTGAAAAACTACTAATCAGCTCTTTATGTTTACAGCTTTACGGGTACACACCCGCTGAAGCTGTTTTTTCTTATGACTTAACATGCTTTGTTGGATCTGAAGACATCACAAAGGAAATAAAGGTGAAATTATTTTTATACCTTTGAATATTTTATTGAAATTTGTGCTTGACGGCTCTCAACAAATGTCAACTAGCAGTCACTGCAAATGAGCAGAAAATGGGTCTACGGTTTATTTGGTATAAATGAAGAGATGTTGGTCTCATGTAAAATGAGAAAACATGGGTAATATCGCTGTATACTGATAGGTTTTAGAGCAATAAAAAATACAGGACACATAGAACCTTAAACCTTGGAAGTAATTCTACCACTGCATATCAGCTTGTAGTGAAATGATACTTGTAAGTAAACCTTTAGTTGCAGTTGCTAAATATCATTTTGTTCAATTTTAGCCTGGAAAGATGTAACCAGTGGAAATCTTGACCCCCAGGGGCTGCCAGGGTCATTTTTATCTTATGGAATCTGCCAACAAGAACTTCATCCACATCTGCGTGTCTAGAACTGTGTTTCTTGCCAACTTTTAGCCACTGTTCCTTTTGGAACAATGGACAATAGTCAAAGTGATCCAGAGGTAGCTCATTTGTTTTATTCAGAGACTGGGAATTATGCATTCTGTACTGGCAGGGTGAGCTGTTACATATTGGTGTATTTCTCTATGTAGCATGTACGTATCTGGGGGAAAAGACAAAGAGGTAAAGCATACTTCTGGGTGGGTCCTTTATCTTCATATTAAAATCCACCTTGATTCTCATTTGTGGGAAGTTTGCCAACAAAATTCATGCTTGGCAAATCATCTATTTTTTCCTCCAATTTTTTTGTTTTGAGAACTGGGGATCGAACCCAGGGCCTCTGCACAACAGGCAAGTGCTGTGCCACTGAGCTTCATGTCCAGCTCCTCCTTTAATTATTTTAATGATGAAAATGATTGACAGGGGAAATGCTTGACATTCAATTATTGTTTCACCAACACACTGTAGCACAAAGCTTGAGCTAATCTTTTGTCATATACAGTAGTCCTATTTAACAAGAAAATGTAATTGTTGCTTTATTAAAAGAAGATACCCCTAAACAATTATTGTCATCTGCATTAGCAAGTCCTCTTTCTAAAGAGTTCCTTCTTCATCACTTGCTGGCTGGCTCTCCGGCCCTCCCACTCTGGAATGGTGGGCTGGGACTCGGGCTGAGCCTCCTCAAGGACAATCAATAGTCTGGCCTGTGGAACATGGGACAGTCAAGTATCAATGCCAAGCTGACTAGGCTGCCTCAGCCTCACACTACAAAACTTTGTACTTGATATAGAGAGAAAGCAGAACTATTGGAAACAAATAGGAACCAAGAGAAAAAAACAAGCAGAAAACAGGGAAAATAAGCTGCGTCAGTACAATGGCAGAACACTAAATATGAGATCCCCAGATGCCTGCAGAAAAGAATGAAGATTCCCTGCATCCCTGGAGCTGCCTTGTGCCTGAACTCTGTCAGTTCCCAAGCTGTGTTTGTCTCTTCTATTACAATCAGATTGCTCTGGTGTTGGCAGAGTGGCTCAAGTGGTAGAGTGTCTGCCTAGCAAGCATGAGGTCCTAAGTTCAAACCCAGTACCGCCAAAAACAACAAAAAAAAGACAATTAGATCTCTCTAATTTTCTTATGTCCCTCAGATCTCCACAATAAACACTATTACTTAATGTGACTGATGTCTCTTAACAGCTTACACTGCTTAATACATTATATATTAAATGTTCTCTTAAAGCATCAATATGTTTATGATCACATAACATGGGTTCATGGTTTTGTTACTATTTTAAAATAATGTACATGAAGCCTTAATAACTAATACTGATAAAAATATATACAGAAGACATTTTCCAGGATTTATCATTTCTTTCTAACAAAATACAGGTAATATAAAATTAATCTTTCCTTCATGGGGAGGATCTTTGAGTTAGAATTTACACAATAAACTGGAGTTAGAAACAGCCTCAAGCAAATTATATTAAATGTTCACTTTGTGTTATTTTATACTTTTGTTTGGTGCCATTTCCACAGCCCCCTTCCTGAAGGATTGGTATAAAAGTACCAATTTTTATTTGTGATTATTAATCTAAAAAATTTTAGTCAACATAGTGTGCAAATGGAAGTCTTATGATGTAGCCAATACTTTGGGGGAGGGCTTTTTCTCCTGCCCCTCCATCTGGTGGAGATGTCCCCAAGCAAGTAGATTTAAGCATTTCCAAGCCCTTGATTGCAAAAGATAAGGCCTGTCACTGTTGGTCTCCTCTCTTTGAAGGACTTGGACCTTGATTTCATTGTGGAAAATTTACTACTATCTTTAGATAAAGCTTAGTAAATAAGAGAATCAGCTTTACTTTCTGAAAATGTCCAAATGAGAAATCAACCTTGATTTTCTTTTAATTGAACTTTTTGACATAAGTATAGATTCCTACGTAGTTGTAAGAAATAGTATAGAGACCCCATATCCTTTTCTCCAATTGCCCTACTGGCAACATTGTATAAATCCCTAGTGTAATATCACAACCAGAATACTAACTTTGCTACAGGGATGATACAGAACACACTAGCACCACAGAACCTTTCTGCTGCCCCTCCATAGCCACGCCCACCTCCATCCTCTCTGGAAACTACTACTCTGTCCTTTGTGCCTGTAATTCTGTCATTTCTAGAATGTTACATAAGCAGAATCGCACAGTACTGTTATGGTTTGGATCTTAAATGTCCTCTAAAGGCCTATGTATTGAAAGCTTGGTCGCCAGCCTGTGGTGCAAGAAGGTGGTGGAATCTACAAGTAGAGCCTATAGAAGGAAGTGAAGTCACTGCAGGCGTGCTCTGCAGGGGTCACTGGGACCTGGCGCCTTCCTCTCTCTTTCTTTTCCTGACTAGCATGAGGTGAGCAACCTCTTCCACAATGCACTTCCTCCAGGACCTCTGCCTTGACACGGGCTCAAAGGCAACAAAGTCAAGTGACCATGGATGGAACCTTGTGAAACCATGAGCCAAAAGAAGCCTTTCCTCCTTTCAGTTGTTCATTTCAGGTGTTTTGTCCCGGCAATGGAAAGCTGAAACAAAATCATCACATAACGTTTTGAGACTGTTTATGCAAAACGAAGTCAATCTATCCCTGTGGCAATCCCACATGCAGAGAACACAGGTACATTTATCCCATGGGATCTCAAACAGGTTTTCAAACTACTAAAAATGAGACTATTATCTTGTAGCCTGTGAACTGATTAGAAAGACTGAACAGTGAGCGAATATTACATTCCAGACTATATTTTCACTTTTTATACAGGTGAACACAGCAATGATATAGTTTATCGCTAGATATATTTTAGTTGGACTCTATTTGTCTTAAATGTTAAAATTTTCAGAAAAACAGATATTTTCTGTTTTTCTTCCTTTGAAGGGATATAGATTAGACCCATAAGTTTCTTTCCTTATTTCTTATTTATTTCTTCCTTTCCTCCTCCCTCCCTCCCTCCTTCCTTCCTTCCTTCTTTTCTTTCTTTCTTTGTGCTGGGAATGGAACCCAGGACCTTGCACATGCTGGGCAAGCACACTACCATTGAGTTACACCTCCACCTCCATTTCTTTTAACCATTTTCAGCTTATCTGTTATGTCTTATATAGAATTTTCTTTAATATGAGGATGAGATGATTAAAGTTCCTTCGTTCAGTCCTAACAACAACTCTGTGGGAGTGGTCTTATAGTCCCTCCTGTACAGCTAAGGCTTAACAAGATTAAGGTAACTTGCCTATGGTACCCACTAAGTCGGAGTGGGGAGTGGAGCCCGGTGTACCTGTCACTTTACAGTAACCGCATCAGTGTTAACCCAAAGCTAATGACATGACAAAGGAATCATCTTGCCATTGATTTTTTTTTTACTTTAAAACACTTTTATTGTAATAAATATCTTTTTAAATTGATTTATTCACATGTGCATACATTGTTTGGGTCATTGATTTCTTTTCTTGTCATTTGTTTTTAGAGTGTTTTTTTTTTTTTTTTGAGGCAGGATCTCACTATGCAGCCTAGCCTGGCTTCAAACTCATGATCCTCCTATGTCAGTCTCCTGAGTGCTGAGATTACAGGCATGTACCACCATACCCAGATGCTATTGAGTTTCAATAAAACTTTTTATTACTCCAGTAGCAGTAACTCATTGTATAACAGATAAGCCAAAAGAACAAGTTTTTTTGTATACATACTACCAGAACAACTTTTTAAAAAAGAACTTTTAATGTCAGTTGGTTTAAGCAAATAAGTTTCAGTTAACTATATGGTTTCAGCTAAGTATTACAGTTCATACTAATAGTAAAAATTTACATTATCTACATATTCTCTATAGCGTTAACAGTGCATTTCCCCCTATCCATCAGGTCATGATTCCATTATGAAGGGTTCAGAAGAAAAACTGTCTCCTCTGCTGAATTCTAAATTCCATATTTTTCAATCAGCTCTTTTGCTTTAGAAATGTAGGCACTCATGGCATCTTCCTTTGACAGCCCTGGAAGATAAAAACATTATCTACTCGCTGCTGCTGTGAGAGAGGTGAAGAAGTTTTGTTTTAATGTTGTTTAAGAGATAAAACAAGGCTTGGAGCATGGCTCAAGCAGTAGAGTGCCTGTCTGGCAAGTGCAAGGCCCTGAGTTCAAACTCCAATACCACACACAAAAGAGTTAAAAACCTTTTTTGAGGCTCCATGCTTCCCACTTGGCCTTGCCCTTTAAATCCAACATCACTGGACATGCTGTCAAGAGAAGAAGAGAGATGGTCAAGTTTACTTTTCACCGTGAACTTCTGTAAGTGTTGCTCCAACCAAGTCTATTAGTACTTCTGCAAATGATAATGTCATACGATGTTAATGTCTCCAATGATAGCCTGTTTGTAAAGCCCATAGAGTTCTTTCAGTTCCTCATCCTCTGGTCTGGTTTTCAGCTTCCTCACGTCTTCTGTGGCCCTGTCAAAATCAGCCTAATGCAAAAAAAAAAAAAAAAAAAAAAACCACACACACAAAAAAGCACACCATGCATTTGCTAACATTAAACAGGCCTGTATTAACTTGCGGGTGTTAACCACATAGGGATGGGAACACAAAGATGAGAATGCTTTCAAATAGAAATGAACTGTTGCACATATGAATACAATAAGAAACAAAAAAAGAAGTGAACTCTTGCTGTGCTGGTTCCAGCAGAAGCATCCTAACTTATTGGAACTCACAGACACCTTTCCTGGTACTTACTTGACAAAATATGGAGAACTAACTAAAATTCTTAATACTGAAAATGTTCAATTGACCTATTTTTTAAGGGCACTATACTCCAGGCAGTGCTCAGGACCCACTTGCAGGTACTACCTTCCTCTTCTTCTGAAATGCACACTTCACTCCAGTGCACACCATGGTCCAGGACAACCTGCCCAGTGCCTGTGTCCTTCAGCATCAGTAGCACCTGTTCCAAATCAGTATTCCTGATTTTGTTGGACTGCTTTTACACACTCCTTTCAACACAGAACCCCAGAATTATAAGATTTGTTTCAACTGATTTCCAGAAAAGTTGTTTAGCCCACTTTGAGGTGATTAGCAAGACCTTGTACACAAACATGCCTGAGTAGGAAATTTTGTTTGCCTCCATCTTAAGTAAACTGTGACCTCTCTGTTAGTTAGCTTTTCATCACTATAACAAATAATGGATAAATCAGCTTATAAAGGAGAAAGGTTTAAAGTCAGGCATGGTTGTATACCTGTAATGCAGCACTTATGAGGACGAGGCAAGAGGATTTTGAGTTCAAAGCCATCCTGGGCTATATATTAAGACCGTATATCAAGAGCAAACAAAAACACCCCCCAAACCAGCTAACTAAACAAACAAAAACTAAAAGGGAGAGGAAAAAGGAAAGGGAAGGGAAAGGAAGGGACAGGAAGAAGAGAGAAGAAGGAGAGAGAAGGAGAGGAGGGGAGGGGAGAAGAGGATCGGCCCCATTGCTTTGGGTCTGTGGCAAGGTTGCACGGCATGGTAGAATGGCTTGGCTCATGGCAGTAAGCAAAAGAGAGGAAGGAAGAAGGGCTGGGGTCCCACTATCTCTTTGACCTCCCACTAGGCTCCACCAACTCAAGTTTCCAGCATCTCCCAATAGTAGCACTCTAGGGACCAATCATTTGACACATGGACCACTGGGGGACATTTCAGATCTAAATTACAGTACTCCTCAACTCCCCCAAGGCCCTTAGTCTGGCCTGGGCTCTTATCCCAGGATTTGGTCAGTGGCTGCTCCTGTGGTGTGTTCTATACAGGGAAGAAGTCCATTTTGCCTCCAATGGAGCCTGAGCACTGCTCGATACCTTATCCTTTTTCACTTTTACCCCCTTAACTGATAGTGCGCAAAGGACTTTGGTGATGATTTTCCTTAGCAGAACTTCTGATTCCTTTTTATTTTAATAAACTATACTTTTCTTTGCAGTATTTGTTTTAAATTGGGGATAAGCAGGAATTGTCAGTAGTCTGGAAATCAAACAAGGAACGCTGGACCAGGCATTCTAGCCCCACCTCTGTTCTTACCCTGTATTTTTCTCTAGAGCTCCTTTCTGACCCAAAGGCCTAAGAGAAAATGTGAATAGATAGAGACTTGGAACCCCATGATCTCAGCAGAGTTGCTGGGGAAAGTTTCCAGCCAGTCTAAAGACAGGACAGTAGCACAGAATTGTTTTAAGAACAAAAGTCACCTGTAAATTGGAGACTAGGGTCTTCACCCTAGGTAACCTTGAAAACGGCCCTGTCTCCTAATCAGGAGACTGAGAAGGATAGATGTTCCTGAGAAAGGTGCTTCATCTTTCTAGGAAACGGTCAGGGGCTTTACACATAATGTTATGCTTAAGAACACAGACTGTGGGCCGGGTGTCGGTCACGCTTGTAATCCTAGCTACTTAGGAGGCGAGAGATCAGGAGGATCAAAGTTCAAAGCCAGCCTGGGCAAACAGTTTGTGAGACCTTATCTCAAAAAAACCCTTCATAAAAAAGGGCAGGTAGATGCACACCCATGTTTATTGCGGCACTATTCACAATAGCCAAGTTATGGAAATAGCCAGGATGCCCCACCACTGACGAGTGGATTAAGAAAATGTGGTATCTATACACAATGGAATTTTATGCAGCCATGAAGAAGAACGAAATGTTATCATTCACTGGTAAATGGATGGAATTGGAGAAAATCATTCTGAGTGAGGTTAGCCTGGCCCAAAAGACCAAAAATCATATGTTCTCCCTTATATGTGGACATTAGATCAAGGGCAAACACAACAATGGGATTGGACTTTGAGCACAAGATAACAGCGAGAGCACACAAGGGAGGGGTGAGGATAGGTAAGACACCTAAAAAACTAGCTAGCATTTGTTGCCCTTAACGCAGAGAAACTAAAGCAGATACCTTAAAAGCAACTGAGGCCAATAGGAGAAGGGGACCAGGAACTAGAGAAAAGGTTAGATCAAAAAGAATTAACCTAGAAGGTAACACACATGCACAGGAAATTAATGTGAGTCAACTCTCTGTTTGGCTATCTTTATCTCAACCAGCAAAAACACTTGTTCCTTCCTATTATTGCTTATATTCTCTCTTCAACAAAATTAGAGATAAGGGCAAAATAGTTTCTGGTGGGTATTGAGGGGGTGGGGGGGAGAAGCAGCGGGTGGAGTGGGTGGTAAGGGAGGGGGTGGGGGCAGGGGGGAGAAATGACCCAAGCCTTGTATGCACATATGAATAATAAAACAATAAAAGAAAAAGGGCAGGTAGAGTGGGTCAAGGTGAAGGCCCTGAGTTCAAATCACAAAAAAAAAAACAAAAAAAACACAGGCTGTGATTTGACTCAGTTTCTTCACTTAAGAGCTGTGTGAACTTGGGCAAGTTATTTAATCTCTCTGTTTCTTCTTTTGGAATATGTAATAATAGCAATACTTATTGTTAGAAGAATGTTGGGCACTGATCTGAAACATGGTTCTCTACCTTTGGCGGGGCAGAAAAGGTTTAAATAAGTTGATGCACAGAAAGTACTTAAAGTGCACCTTCCTTGAGCATATATATAGACTCAATAAAGGTTAGCTACTGTTATTTATTATAAGGTTCTTCATTATTTATTGTTAGGTTTTACTATAAGGCTATTTGGGGGAAAACTAGTTTAGAAAAAACTACTGCACATGAAAAACTTTTAGTTTATGTTTTAACAAAGAACACAAAATTATTTCTAGACTCTCAGCTTTGAATGTTGTATAGAGAAAATATAAATTAGAAATAAGTGTACTAAAATAGGCAAACAGTAATTGGCTCTAACTTTTCTGGTTTTTAAAATACTTTTATACTCTTCAAATTATCTATCATGTGCATGTACTATATTTATGTAAGAACAAATCTAAGGTGCTACACAGTGGCTAGGGCTTCCCCAGGGCAAGCAGGACAAGAGGACTCAGGAGGAGTGGGGATGGTCCTGTTCAGGCTTCAGCAGCATCTCAGGGAATCTGTTTGCTGTAAAGTCTCATGTCAGTGTCAAGTGACACCAGTTCAATTTCTTTCCATGCATGAACTAAGCCTAGATCAGTATTCTAAGGTTCTCAAAAACTATGTGAGCTCCCTCCCTTCTAGGGAGGAGGTTCTAGAAAATGGTTGCTCATATTTTGGGGGCTCTTGACCTCTAGAAAGACCCAGTGAAAGTCATGGGGCCCTTCACAGAACTAAGCCCCTGATGCAGTGTCCCCTGCTACTTCAGCTGCCTCCATCCCACCTCTCTTCCCAAGTGGAGAACCCTATTTCAAAGTAGTGCCCAGCATCCCTCTCTGTGTCCAGCCTGTCTTCCCTAGCACCTGGATTCGATAGGTTCCTGCTTTAGGGTGCTGTTCCGATGTCCCCTCCACTATGAGGCCTCTCCCTCCCCAGGCACGATGAGCTGCAGTGAAAAGAATACTGGCCTTGCGTGTGCATTCTCAGGTCTGAAATCTAGCTTTGAGGTGTACCTGCTGTGGGACTCTGCAGACCAAGTTCCCCTGAGCAAAGCAAAAACAAAACAAAAGAAACAAACAAACAAAAAAAACCACTATGGGTTGAGCATCCCTAACCTAAAAACTCAAAACCTGAAATGCTCCCAATTTGAAACTTTTTGAGTGCTGACATGATGCCTCAAGTGGAAAATTCCACACCTGCCATCCGTGCAGTGAAAGCACAGGTGTAGTAAAAATATTCTATAAGAGGACCTTCAGGCTGTGTGCATAAGGTATATATGAAACATACACGGATTTCATGTTTAGCTTGGGATTCCATCCCCAAGGTATCTCATTGTATATATGCAAGTATTCCAAAATTAAAAAAAAATCAGAAATCTGAAACACACTTGGTTCCAAACATTTTGGACAAAGGATGATCAACCTGTATCAGTTTAGGGGAAGATAATAGGATTAAACCCAATTAAGAATGAAATAGTCTTGATTTGGTTCTGTGGGCTGTGCTTTCACAGAGCTCATCACCAGTACCAGATTAAGTAACAATGCCGTGAACAACTGTGATGGACCAGGCCTGTATTGGGCAGACAGAGATGACCAGGGCAGTCCATTTGAGGAGTTGAGCCCAGCGGGGATGGGCAGGTCAACAGTGAGACTTCCCATAAGGAGGAGCAGCCATTGCTCTGAGAACAGAGAGGAACTAGCAACCCAGAGGGGAAGGGCTGCTAAGAAGCCTCCTAGGAAGGATGACATAGTGTTCAGTGCCCATGCTGAGCCTGGGGTGAGTGATGGTGTTCTTTAGTAGACAAGGGCAGGAAAAGCTGCTCTAGGCAGTCTGAACGGGAATTTAGTAGGGTTGAACATAAAGGTTGGATGGAATTGCATTTGTTTGTTCCCCCAAATATCCATAGTAAAGGGCAGGTATAAATACTCTTTTTTTTAGTGGGACTGGGGTCTGAACTCAGAGCTTCATGCTCGCAAAGCAAGCACTCTGCTGCATGAGCCATGCCTCCTGTCAATTTCTCTCTGGTTATTTTGAGGATGGGGTCTCATGAACTGCTTGCCAAGGCTGGCCTCAAACTGTGATCCTGCAGATGTCAGCCTCCCAAATAGCTAGGATTACAGGGATGAGCCACTGCTGCCCAATGCTGGCAGGTGACACGAGCCAGTCTGAGCCCAGTAGGTGCATCCTTGTTGAATGGATTAGTGCACGCGTGGATAGGAGGAGGATCAGAAACATATCAGGTGACATATCAGCTGTTCACATTGAATTCCAAAGCATTCTAGGCAAAAGGAATCTTAGTTTTAAAATGTTGCTGTGTCCCTGGGGAGCTGAGCTCCATGCTCTGATGAGGAGTTTTGGTCTCTGCTGAGTGATTTTCCAGCATCCTGCTTGAATATGCCCAAGCTCTGCTGCTCAGATGCTGCAAAACAAATGCCTTAAGGCTACTACAGCCTTAAGGGTCCAAAGACCCTCTCCAGTTCCCGACTTGCCTCAAGTTCTCTCAGCCCCATACTTAGTCTAGCAGTGATGACATTCACCTTGTGTACATCTGTGTCCCACCCTGAGGACATTTCCTTTCCCATTTCACCCCAGCTGAAGACAGCCTCTGAAGGTGACTCACACTTTAACTTCACTTTCGCAGATAAAAAACATGGTCATGCCACGTATGACAAGCCTTCATGAGCCTTTCTTTCTCACTGAGGATGTGAATTACGAAGATAAAGTCTCCTGACAAGGTACTGCCTGGATCTTGATAGCACATTGCAAGGAAGGGGTTAGTTATTTTCCAATTGTAAAATTATGAATCCTCTAAACTCAAAAACACAAAAGGCATTTTTTGTTTTATTTTATTATTATTATTTTTTGAGACAGGGTTTTCTTATGTAGCTCAGGCTGGCCTTGAACTCCCTATCCTGTCTCAGCCTCCTGAGTTCTGGTACTGTGAAACACCACATCCTGCTAAAAAAAATCTTCTTGATGGAGCAGTTTCCTTTTTAGCTTCATCATCTAGGAAGATGATGTTAAGATGTCAGCTCTTCTAAAAGCTTTACTGAGGGAATAAACATATCGCAATTTTAAAATTAAATAGGAAGATTATAGCTGAATTAGAAGTTCTATTTGTTTTGCGGCTTCCAGGAGAGTCTTCCAATACTGCTTACGCTAGAATAAAGAAATAGAAGACTGGGGACATGTCTTATTGCCCTTCCTGTCACTTCCACTAATGGAGCCATCCATAGCACTTTTGGGGACCACAAGTAGCAATAGCATGCCTGGGCTAATGCCAGCTGAGGTACAAAGAGCAGAAGGTTTAAACATATCAGCCAGGTACTGGTCAGTGTTTTTAAAATTTATTTTAAATTTTTACTAGTATTTTTAAGCTATTGTTTTGAAATGATTTTGGATTTAGATACAATTTATAAAAATAGTGTATTTTCAGTGGGCCCAATACCCAGTTTTCCCTGGGTGTTAATTTGACAGGATCTCTCTATGTAGCCAGGGCTGGTCTCTGCCTTTGGAGTGCTGGATTATGGCGTTCAAAAGACACTCTTTGCATGTATGGAATTACCAGAGTGAAATCCCCTCATATTATTAATGTATGCTAATTTGAAAATAAAATAAAAGGTTTTAAATGTTTTTTCTCTAATACTCTCAGTATTTAAGTGGATGGTTAGTAGATAACATGGAGGGTATATGTCTTTAAATAAGTTTTCTCCCTCTTTCTCCCTTTCTTCTCTGTGGTCTTTTCTATTACAACTTTTCTTTCCTGTAATATTCCTCAATCTTTAAGTTCCAGTTGGAAATACTTTTAAAGAAAAACAAACAAACAAAGAACAATGAAAACCACAACAGCAACAACAATAAGAAGAAGCAAAGTACTCAGCTGAAAAGGAACCATTTAGATCTTTGGATTTGAAGAAAGTTTTGATTATTTTGGGAGTTCAAAATGAGCTACACAAGTCATACACAGGAAAAAAATGTATCTAACTGCTCAGTAAACAAATCCTTACTGGACAGAGGCCCCATGTGTACACTGTTTTAAACGCTATATATGCAGCTCATCTAAAAGTATCTCTCCTCCATTTTTAGATGAAGAGGCACAGAGTTTTAAATATCCATGTCACCAGCTAAGAAGGGGTGGGGCATGGAATTGAACTTCCATGACTCCTGGAGTATGCACTTTACACATCTTTAACAAGATGACAACATCTTGCCTGAAGAGGTTAACTGTGCCCAGCATGTGGAATCTTATGCATTAAAAAGTTTATTTTACAAGACTATTTAATGATGATGAGAAATGCCCATAGTTACAGGTACAGAAACAAAACTACATACACAACAACATCGTAGGTGCACCTATAATCACTCACACACACACACACACACACAGAGAGAGAGAGAGAGAGAGAGAGAGAGAGAAACACATACAAGGAAGTAACCTAGTATGTTAGCAGTGGTTATCGCCTGGGTGAAAGGATTCCTGGCAATTTTTATTTATTCACATGTTCTGTTCCCAAAGTTTTCCATTTTTAACATGTCAGTAAAACAGTATTTTTAAAAATCAGACCTTCATAGAGCTCTGCTGTTGAGAAAAACACTTGCCTGGGAGCCTCTGAGGTGGCAAGGAGCAAGGGGGCTTGGAAAGAGACACCTGTGGATGTCGCCTCCCTCCTGGAGATGCAAAGAGGACTGGGGTGAATGTGCTGGTGCTCCGCGGGGAGTTGTGCCTACTTTTCTGCTCTGGGTACTTTAAACCAGTCCCTGGGGCCCAGAAGGGTTGCCATGGAGAGCCTGGCTCGTCGTCAACAGATGGCACTGTGTACCCTGCGGTGCAATACTTGGGGCGCTCGGGCAGGTGTGGGAGTGACCTCAGGGTCGCAGCTGAGCGCCCCTGGGGGAAAGGAAGGCGAGCGGCAGCAGTTGTCCATGGGGTGTCACCTCTTCTCTCAGAGCATCCCTCCCTCGCGGCCGCCCCAGCACCCGGGTTACCTGCAGAGACATGGTGACACGCCCGGGCGGCTACTGCTGTCCTGGTCTGGGTACCGCGCCTGCGTGGGGCCGCTCATTAAAAGGCAGCGCTCCTTGGCTGGCCGCTCCCATTGGCCGAACTCCGAGCCTGGCCGGCTCCCGTTGGCTGCAGGCATGGGAGGAGGGCGGGACTGGGCGTGGTCCAAGGGACTCAGCCCTTTAATTTAGCATAACTGCACCTGGAGAGGGAGAAAAAGACATCCAATAGAGTTCCTCTCCGCTCCCTGCTCGCTCTTCCATTTTTTTCTCTAGACTGGTTTGCACCGACCTCACTTGGGATTCCTTCTTGACAGGAACCTCTCTCTTCCGTGATTTTTAGAAGCCTGGGCTGTAGATGGCTTTCATTCGGACCCCGGTCTCCGCCAGCCATCCTTGATCTCTTGAGTCGCTGTTCATCATGAATGCAAAAGGGCCAGAGTTTCTCTACCTGTTTATAAAGCAAAAACACCTACATTCTGAATTGACCCCCGTCCCCCCCCCCCGCCTTTCTTTTCATTAAGTACTTCTTCCTGCACCTGTTCAATGTGACCCAGTTCCAGGGGAACACATGCACTGTCGCTGCAAGGCTGCACACACTCCAAATGAAGTTTTTGAATCACATTTTGCTACATTTCCAAACTGGAAACAGATTCCCATGTCATAGGAGGAGTTAATTTCCGACTCTTCGCTTAAATAGCATTCTTGGAGAAGGTTGCCTGGGAGAAACTCGAAACCCCATGTCAAGAGAGATACTGAGTTCTCATGTAGAATAATGCAAACAGCAAGGGAGAAGACAGGCCCCCAAACTTTTTAGCTTAGTTTTGCACAAAACTACACTTTAAAAATATTTGCTACTTTTGCGCGTGAATCTCCTTTTTCCTTCTCTTTGAAAAAGTATTTTTGTGGTGAAATTAGTTTCCAACTAAAGGACAAAAAAAGCAAATATAGAGAAACCTGGGCAGGGTGTGCGTGGGGGGTAGGGAAATGAACAGCAGGGTTCAAGGGCAAATGGCAGCTTTGGAACAGAACTTCCTGTTTGCCCAGAGGTGGCTGCTGGGGAGAGCCAGTCTGTATCCTCAGCAGAGACATTTTGGCTTTATAGAGATTGCAAGAAACCAGAAGGGGCAGGGTGGGAGTGGGGGCACAATGTGCTTTGTTTTATTCTGTAAGTCTAGAATGTTCTTTCAATACGTCTTTTTAGAGGTATTCAAAACTTTTGTAAATTACTGAAAGACTTACCTGATATTTTACAGGATAAAATCAAAGCTATCATTAAGAAGTAAAACTGATCATTCAGTATAAAATAACAAGTGCATAAACTTCATTGGAACTCCATGTTTAAGATACTTGGGACACTCTTATGTAGAAAATCAGAACATATTTTTATTTATTTATTTATTTTTTGGTGGGACTGGGTTTGAACTCCAGGCTTTGTGCTTGCAAAGCATGCACTTTACTGCTTGAGCCACACCTTCTGTCATTTTTGCCGTGGTTGTTTTGGAGATGGGGGTCTCTCGAACTCTTTGCCTGGGCTGGCCTTGAACTGCAATCCTTCCGATCTTGGCTTCCCAAGTAGCTAGGATTATAGGTGTGAGTCACCGATGACCAGCAAATTTTAATTTATATTACTATTTTTAGCATACATCTATGTGAAACAAATTAGAGGGAATTCTCAAAGGACACATTTGAAGGTGATTTAATCATGAAAGGGTGTTTAGAAACATTTTTGGTGTAATGCGACACAAATGGGAGAGAATTGTTTATCAAAATTCTTATGGCAATTATATTTCTAGTCTTAAAATAGGACACAGCACTACAGTCATGGAGACTATATCTAATTTTTTAACTTAATTCTGCCAAGGTTTTCACTGAATTCATCACAGCTGAATTTACCACGCACTTACTGTGTGCCTGGCACTGTACTAAGCATCTTACATTGATCACCTCCTCTAATCCTCACAGTAGGAGCTATCTTTATCCTTTCCTACTGAAGGTTAATTAACTTGCCTAAGGCCATATGCTAGTCAGTGATGAAGTGAGGATTTCAACCTGGGCAGCCTGGCTTCAGAGCCAGGGAAAAGCTGATAAGTCTTCAAAGTTGTAAATCTGGAACTCTAGGGGGACAAACACTTATACAAATTTCCTTCCCATTATTACAGTATTTGTTTATTTTGGACACAGACTTTCTGCAGTCCAGACTGGTGGCTTGAACTCCTTATGTAGTCTAGGCTGGCCTGACATTCAGGATCCTTATGCCTCTGTCTCCTGAGTGAGTGCTGGGATTTTCACATGTACGCAGCCCCTCTCTTTTTTTTTTTAAACTATATGTCTTTAGAGTTGCATGATATTTGCAGTTTCTCATAGTGAACTAGTATGATTCATTTAATGAAATAAAAGCCTGATGATCCACTTAAACTCACTGTAACCTCCTTCTTGTTAATCTTTCCAGTTGTGATAAAAATCACATTGTACTTTTCCTGTGTGACTTGCAATAATCTTCGGCCAAAATCAACATTTTTAAATGGCCAGTTAGGTACTACGTAGGCCATTAAAATTGAAAATACAGGTAAAAAAATGTGGAAGAAAACCAGCAGTGAAGAGACTGAGAAAAGGAGGACTGAAGGCAGAAGAGGAAGAGGAAGAGGACCCAAGTTAGAATGGAAAAGAAAAAGGGGATTAGGAGGCCGTAGAGGACAGAAGCAATCTACTGTTTTCTAAATTCTTGTCAACAGATTCTTGCTCACCAGATTCAAATTCCTAACCTTTAGTCATTATCTCGCTGTTGTACAATTGTCTACGACTACTTAGAGACTCCATAACCTTCGGTCTCCACTGGTTGGAGCAGCCGCAGCAGACTCTTGATTGGATATTCTGAAGTGCTGTTGCTGAACTTAAACTAGCCCCCCCATTCTCTTTTAGGGGGCTTAAGACTCCCTACACTACTGTGAATCCATGTTTCACCCAAATTTCCAGTCTCCCATTTCTTTGATTTTTCACGTTGTTGGGATCTGCAGGGATTCTCTGGACACGAGGTGATTGGATCAATGGCTGACACTTTGCGTTCATCCTGAGACGAGATAGAGGGCGAGGACTCCACCGAGCTGAAAGGTCAAAACCGGGTTAAAAGGTGAGGTGCGGAGGGGAGAAAGAGGCACTGAGAGAGCCATGCTCCAGGAGACTATAGACAGTGGACTGGTCCTCAATCAACCTAGCAATCTAGAGCGCAAGCGGCAGGTTACCGTGACAACCGCCGAGTCTCGCGACGCAGATACTGCGCCTGCGCACTGCCGCTTTAGCGCATCGTTCCTGGCCTCCCCGCCCACCTCATTTGGAAGGCGGGCCGGAAAGGCGCGGGCTCTGCGCATGCGCGGCACAGGCGCACGCGCATGTGGAGCTAGCGCTGTTGCCATCGGTGGCCTCCGAGTAGAGATCGTGCGTCTTTGGGGGTACGGCAAGCATACCTGGTAAAGTGGCCTTGTGTGGGGGGAGCTGGGAGCTCCGGGACTGGGGCTCCGGCCGTAGCGGGAGGGCGAAGCTCGAGGTCTCCACTGCTTCCGGTGCCTCTCGCGGCGGCGGGTCGATTTAGCGCAGGGCCGGGAGGGAGGGATTAACCCCGGGTCTGTAATGTCGCCGAGAACCCGCGCCATCACCCAGAGACCAGTCTTCCCTGAGGCCCTGCTGGCTTTGCTCCCTCGATCACTCACTCACTCAGGGAGATTTACCTCTTGTTTTAGCTAACGTGTTTCTCTGTATCTCTCATTATCCTTTCTCACTTGCGCTACTCCGGGAGCCTCTGCTGCTAAGTCTTGCAAAGGACCTTGACTTTGCCCGGAATCCTCAGGATCTTTCTATAACGCCTTTCTAATTATGCCACTCCTTTGCCTTGAATGTTACCACCGCTCCCCATGCAGCGCCCTTACCTACCTTTCTTTTCGATCTCACCTCTCTTTCTCTAGCATTTCTACTCCAGCAACTTTGAACTTCCTTTAATGCTGTTCTCCGGGATATCATTAATTCTTAAGTCAATTCCTCCAGGAAGTCCTCTTTTCTTGATCCTGTCAGCTAAGTTAGGTCACTGCTGTATGTCCTCTTAGCATTCTGTAGAGTCTTGACTTCAGTGTGTGCCATATTTGATTGTTTTATTACCTGCTGATAGGTGTTCTTCATAAACTACAAGCTCGTTAAGGCCAGTGGCTGTTTTTGCCTGGTTCAGTACTCTGTGGTCTGGTGCATCATGGATTACCCATGTTTATTGATGAAAAAGGTGGTCATGGAACTGAGGGTGGGAGTGGTATTCAGGCAGAGGGGAATAATGTGTATAAAGACATGGAGGTGATATACTAGAGACCTCAATAAATAGTATGGGTTTGGAGTTGGGTGTAATGTGCATGGTGGATGTAAAAAGAGGAAGGCTTGTGGGAAGTGGGGCCAGCTTATGGAGGGCCTTGTGTGTCACCTTAAAAGTTCGCACTTGATCCTTAACCAGTGGAGGCTCCCAGTTATAGCTCAAAAAGCACCTTGGTATGCTCTTCCTATTTTTCTCCCTTTCTCTGAAGCTGTTATCATCAGTATTTTTTTTATTATTATATTGTAGTAGATTCTGCTTATCCAAACTACTTGACTCTTTTCATCCCCCTTTCCAGATTCTACAGATTGGAGAAGTTAATACCTATCTTGCTATCCCTTGGTTCCAGAGCACATCATCTTAAGTATTATCCTGTACTGTGTGGATGCTGAGACACAGTAAATGACTTGCAGTTTAGCAAGAGCCCAGTGAGATATTTGTCTTGTTCCTTGGTCATTTTTTTTTTCTGCTTGACCACCTTCAACCTGATGCCAACTGCTAATAGTGACTTTGTTGGATTTGGATGAGCTTTTGTTCTGATTCTTAGAGCTGGAGGGCAGCATGGGATGATGGGGATGGGGACATGCACAGTGCACTGCTGTGAAGGAAGCAGCTGAAGTCACAGATGGCTCCAGCAGTGGGCAGCACTAAGTGACCAAGGTTGCATTGCTCACAAGGTTTTTCGGGTTTCTGTGGGAAGGTGACCAAGAGGATTATCAGGAGACCAGGAGATCTGAGGGGACCGTTTCCATTGTGGAAAGGCCACCTGTCACACACCAATACTTCCTAATTTTGGTTTTGTATGAGATTCAGCTTTTACAAGCCCAAATGCCTTGGCCATACTCCCAGACATTCCAATTCAGTAGCTGTAGGGTGAGAATCAACCATCTATATGTTTTTAAAAGCCATAGGTTATTTTTGAGGTGATGCCAGAATTGAAAGAGCAAAAAAATAAAACAAAAAAACCCACTAGTTGTGACTTTGGGCAGTGAGTCTGTTTCCCTAGGCAATTCTACAGGGATGTTGGGAGGATTGAGTATTATTATACATGGAAAGGAAAGAAAAGCAGTACCCGGAGAAAGTGTACATTTGGAGATACTGCGCTGTCAGCCTAGTGCATGGAACTGTGTTTAGTTTTCCCAGTGGGCCCCTGTGGTTCTCAGCTGAGCTCTATAAAGAGGTGAGGAAGAAAATGGAGGAAAAAAGATGTAATTGTTTGGGGAGGATAAACAGGATATGTTCCTTAGACCAGTGGTTTCTAACAGTTCCCCTATAAGGGTCCCTTTTATTTCTACTTTATGGCTTAATACTTTTGAATTTCATTACATTTCTCTTTATTTTCATGAACTTGCCAGCCAGATAAGTCAGCATGTAGCAGCCATGAGGAGGGAATATATACCTGTATATATTCAAATGTCTTAGGGAGGACATGTAAGAAACTTAAGAGCCCGGAGGGAAGGAGGGAAAATTACCAAAGAGAAAGGGAGAGAATGAAAGTACTACTTACAGTTTTGATCACATTTTAGTTAACATCATGACCTGGTTACTTATGAATTGCTTATGCATTAAAGATGGTGAGCTCTGCAGGCAGATACAGGACTCATTCACAAGCCTCAGTGCTCGAATGGTCTGCACAGTGGAGATGCTCAAGGAATATTTGCTGAATGAGTGAATGGAGGCCCCGCTAGAGAGCAATGTAGAAAATACGAGCAAACCTAGAAGCTTAATATCATGCAGTCACCAAAAGGATAATGGGACTGGGTGGTGTAGCTCAGCGGTAGATACTTGCCTAGCATGACAAGGAACTGGGTTTTAATCCTCAGCACTGCAAAAATAATTATGAACAAGCAGAAATGGAACATTTTGCCTTATTTTTTGTGATTTGAGGTTTGAACTCAGGGCTTCACACTTACCTGACAAGTAGCCTACCACCTGAGCCATTCCCCCAGCCTGAAATAAAACCCTTTTTATAAATGAAATGAATAAACACATGGGACCTCACTATGACTGCAACAATATAAACCATTCCACACTGCCTGTATATGAAGAAAGATAAAATCATAAAAATGGGGAAAATTACAGTTTAATGAAGAGAAGTGAAATGAATGGTTGCCTATTTGGGCCTATATAATCAGGCTCACTGTAGCTTAGTAAGAATCAGAATACAACCGAGATGTTCTCAAGACATGCATTTCTAGCCAACACAAATATTCCATTGTTTTGTGTCTCTGTGAAGGGTTTTCAAGATGGCTGCAGCCCCTCAAGCGCCAGCGAGAGGATCTTGCGGAAGACAAGACCTCTTGTTGTAAAGACGTCATTGGACAACCCATATGCTATCTGCTGGAGCACCCTGGAGAGAGAGGACATGCACTTCATATTACAGATACTTGAAGACAGGTTTAAAACTATTGGACTTCAGAAAATCGAGGATAAGAAAAAAGGGAGAAAACCATCTTTTGTAAAAAAGCAAAGCAGAGAAAGATGCAGCCTAGACGTTGATGGTAGTGAGGATGTGAAGGAGAAAAAGCCTGATGCTAGCCAGCAAGTGTCAGGGTGGACGCCTGTGCATGTCAGGAAGCAACTGGCCATTGGCGTTAATGAGGTCACCAGAGCCCTGGAAAGGAACGAACTGCTCCTGGTTCTGGTGTGTAAGTCAGTCAAGCCTGCCTTCATTACCTCACACTTCATTCATCTGAGTTTAAGTAGAAGTGTTCCTGCCTGTCAAGTTCCTCGGCTTAGCGAGAGAATTGCCCCAGTCATTGGCTTAAAATGTATGCTAGCCTTGGGTTTCAGGAGGAACACCACTGACTTTGTGGAGGAAGTGAGAGCTATCATTCCCAGAGTGCCCAGCTTAAAGGTGCCATGGCTTCAAGATGGAACTGAAGGTTCTGAAGACAATTTAGAGACTGACTTAGAAAGCCTAGACAGAGAGATCTTGGAAACTTCATTCAATGACCTTGCCAAACCTAAGCGAACGCTTGGTGAAGGGAGGCAGACTTCAACTGTAGCATTACAACCCCTTAAAATAAAGAAACTGATTCCCAACCCTAATAAAATAAGGAAGCCACCCAAAAGTAAAAGAACTTTAAAGTAATCTTGTATATACTGTCATTTCATAAATTTGTAAAAGGATACCTTACAAAGAAGCCTTGAAGCAAATAAAATACATTCCCATGTATTCTTAAGATCCTGTGTAGTAATTTTTCTTCCATCTGTGTTCAAATCTGTGTGGCACTGAAGCTTAAAAACACTTGAGTGCAGAAAATACTCAAAAACAGGAATGTTTTAACAAAAGTTTATTGAAGGCAGTGTCCATGCTTGTATAAATTTACTGTCCTGAAGGCTGGTGCAATGCCTGTTAGCAAAAACATGTGTGTGACAGCACTTAGCATTTCTCCACTAAGCTTGGAAAATAGGCCACAGTAGATATGGTTTTAATAAGTACAGTGGATGAATCATTGGCAAAGCATTTCCAGTTGATTCGATGTCCCCTCTGTTCCTTTAAGTTTTACTTAGTACTGTGTTGGCACAAATAAAAGGATACCTTAGTGAATACAGCATTTTCATAAGAGCACAGGAAAATGTAGATTTTAAAAATCGGAGACACTATATATTGCATTTAAATTTAGTTTTAATAGCTACTTAATAAACAAGCAGTTTTTACTGATTCTAAAATGTTCATTGGTAGTAGTGCTTCAATTACAAAGAACCCAATGTATTACTGTATTTGAAATGATGCAGTAAAACATGGATTTTATAATAACTGGAGTAGGCAGTAAATGAATCTTTAAAGGAATGATATGACAGTTTCCTTGGTATAAGATTTTGTGCCATAAATATGAGTGGGATGTAATCCTAACTAGAGCTGTGATTTCAGAGTAAGTAAAAATCTTGATATTTAATGGCTATGTCTCATAAAAAAAGTTCCAATGATTTGGTAGTTTTGTTTTTCTGAAGCCTTTCTCAAGAATGGCAATGCAATTGGGTTTGAACCATCTGAAATGAGAAGAAGTCTTCCACTGTCTTAGGAGCAGTGCCTGCCCCATTATACGCTAAGGTAGGGCCCAAGTGCCCCCTCTAATGGTAGGAACAAGGATGCCACAGCTGTGGTTATAACTTACTTAAATCAGGGACTATAAACTTTCTGAGAAAGTCCAGACAGTGAATATCTTAGGCATTGTAGGCTATACAGTCTGTCCCAACTTCTCATTCTGTCTTTGTAATGTGAAGCAGCCATACAGAATACATAAATGAAAATGTAGCTGTGTTCCATACAGAGCTTATATACGGATGCTGAAATCTGAATTAGAATTTTCATGTCACAAAATGTTTTTTTAAAATATCTTCTCCCAATTATTCAAAGAAATCAATCTTAGCTCGTGGGCTGTACAAAAACAGGTAATAGGTCAATTTCACCCAAGGGTTGTACTTGGTGGGCCCTTCCTGGTGTAAGTATGGTTGGTTTTATTGTACTACTTACAACATGAAGGAAATACCTATTGTAAAAGAAGTAGCTTTTTCTCAACTGAAGAGTGGAGGCACTGGTACGTACAATAAAGGCAGGAACAAGGATCTACTTTGTGGTTTTGACTCAAGGCCAGCCTATATGGCCTTGCCTTGCATCTTATGTTTCCCTTGAATTACTGGCAATATATATACATGTATATTTGTGAAAGTTTGTTTTTCAAGTTCTAGTAAAAACAACATTAGTAACAAAATTATGAATACTTATTTACAAGTAAGATATTTTCCATTACCATGACAGTTTTCATGATAAAGTCAGCATAAAGGAATATGTGCAATTTTGCATAAGTTACAAACATTCAAACTATCAATGTCCCGATAGCAATAATAAATTCCACTAGGCATTTATTTTAATGTTAGAGCTTTTGTTTCCTTTTCCTCCTATCTTGATGTTGCTAGAAGAAACTGGAGATTGTACAGCAGTGGAAAAGTTTGATCAGTCACAGGTGTCACACTTCATGTTTGCTCAAAACTTTGCTTTTGAAACAATCCACCAGCCAGCTGAAGATCAAGGTACACATCTGCTCTTTATTGATTTGGCAATTTTGCTTATGGAGTAATAAACGTACTAGTCACTGGTACATTTTCATATTGCTCCATACTTAAATATTCACCATCTGTCAGTCCATAAGTGTTCCCAGTGGCATCATATAAGAATTTTCCAAATGGAGCCTTCATTCTGTTGTACAGACAAATGTACCACCATAAACAAACAAAAACGCAGTAGAATATCTCCACACAACAACAAAGGTTTTCTGACACGATGCTATGACTTCTGTTTAATCCACAGGAAAACAGTCCCATTCCTCAAGAGTAGGAAATATCCTCTCTTCACCAAGAGGGCTAAAAGTTTGAAAACTGGAGGAATGTGTTTGTTGTACCCTTTCTATCACGAGTGGGTATACAGCAAAAAAAGGATGAATTTTAATATTCTACATAGATAAATGTACTACTGATCCCATGGATGTTTCCTCATTTTTCTAATTATTATTGACTACTTCAATTTCACTTACATTGTGCTTTTATTCTTCTTTGGAATGGCAGTTCCAGGAATCATTAAATAGAATATTAACAAATGAGGATGTCACGGTCCTATAAATCAACATATCCATCTACTGTAGTACAAGTCCAACCTAAGGGGAAGGAAGAATTGGAATGGTAAGACCAAGCATGAGAGGAAAATTAAATTATAATGCAGTACAATAGCTCTGTATTTTAAAAGCCCTCTTAATTGAAATGGAAGTGAGTATGGAATTGTCTGGGTAAATTCACTGTGTTTACAAAGCTTTGTCAACTACACTTACCTTTTCAGATTCTGTTCCTGGACACCTCCAGTTGTACAAATAATACTGTAAATTTCCATCTCCTATACCAAACTTGAGTTTTTCCAAGAAGGTCTTATTTTCCATCAAATCTAGTGCATTGAAGACATCAAATCCTTTCTGCCAATGTAAAAATGATTTAAAACTTAAAACATCAAAAGACTAGAGCATTTTTTTATACTGCATATTCCAGTAGAACATTTAATTACTAATAGCTCATATCTGCATTTATAATAGCTTAATGCCTGCAATATGAAGTATAGGTTAAGAATTAAGTTCAAAATTGTCTTATAAAACTAGTGGACATAGTACTGGAATTCCTAGCCAGAGCAATTAGGCAAGAAGAAGGAATAAAAGGAATACAAATAGGTAAAGAAACTGTCAAAATATCCCTATTTGCAGATGACATGATCCTATACCTTAAAGACCCAAAAAACTCAACTCAGAAGCTCGTAGACACCATCAATAGCTACAGCAAGGTAGCAGGATATAAAATCAACATAGAAAAATCATTAGCATTTCTATACACTAACAATGAGCAAACGGAAAAAGAATGTATGAAAACAATTCCATTTACAATAGCCTCAAAAAAAATCAAATACCTAGGTGTAAACCTAACAAAAGATGTGAAAGACCTCTACAAGGAAAACTATACACTTCTGAAGAAAGAGATTGACGAAGACTATAGAAAGTGGAGAGATCTCCCATGCTCATGGATTGGTAGAATCAACATAGTAAAAATGTCGATACTCCCCAAAGTAATCTACATGTTTAATGCAATTCCCATCAAAATTCCAATGACATTCATTAAAGAGATTGAAAAATCTACTGTTAAATTTATATGGAAACACAAGAGGCCACGAATAGCCAAGGCAATACTCAGTCAAAAGAACAATGCAGGAGGTATCACAATACCTGACTTCAAACTATATTACAAAGCAATAACAATAAAAACAGCATGGTACTGGCACAAAAACAGACATGAAGACCAGTGGAACAGAATAGAGGACCCAGCTATGAAGCCACACAACTATAACCAACTTATCTTTGACAAAGGAGCTAAAAATATACGATGGAGAAATAGCAGCCTCTTCAACAAAAACTGTTGGGAAAACTGGTTAGCAGTCTGCAAAAAACTGAAACTAGATCCATGTATATCACTCTATACCAAGATTAACTCAAAATGGATCAAGGATCTTAATATCAGACCACAAACTCTAAAGTTGATACAGGAAAGAGTAGGAAATACTCTGGAGTTAGTAGGTATAGGTAAGAACTTTCTCAATGGAACCCCAGCAGCACAGCAACTAAGAGATAGCATAGATAAATGAGACCTCATAAAGCTAAAAAGCTTCTGTTCATCAAAAGAAATGGTCTCTAAACTGAAGAGAACACCCACAGAGTGGGAGAAAATATTTGCCAACTATACATCAGACAAAGGACTGATAACCAGAATATATAGGGAACTTAAAAAACTAAATTCTCCCAAAACTAATGAACCAATAAAGAAATGGGCAAAGTGAACTAAACAGAACTTTCTCAAAAGAAGAAATTCAAATGGCCAGAAAACACATGAAAAAATGCTCACCATCTCTAGCAATAAAGGAAATGCAAATTAAAACCACGCTAAGATTCCACCTCACCCCTGTTAGAATAGCCATCATCAGCAACACCACCAACAACAGGTGTTGGCGAGGATGCGGGGAAAAAGGAACCCTCTTACACTGTTGGTGGGAATGTAGACTAGTACAACCACTCTGGAAAAAAATTTGGAGGCTACTTAAAAAGCTAGACATCGATCTACCATTTGATCCAGCAATACCACTCTTGGGGATATACCCAAAAGACTGTTACTCCAGAGGCACCTGCACACCCATGTTTATTGCGCACTATTCACAATAGCCAAGTTATGGAAACAGCCAAGATGCCCCACCACTGACGAATGGATTAAGAAAATGTGGTATCTATACACAATGGAATTCTATGCAGCCATGAAGAGAACGAAATGTTATCATTTCTGGTAAATGGATGGATTGGAGAACATCATTCTGAGTGAGGTTAGCCTGGCCCAAAAGACCAAAAATCGTATGTTCTCCCTCATATGTGGACATTAGATCAAGGGTAAACACAACAAGGGGATTGGACTATGAGCACATGATAAAAGCGAGAGCACACAAGGGAGGGGTGAGGATAGGTAAGACACCTAAAAAATTAGCTAGCATTTGTTGCCCTCAACGCAGAGAAACTAAAGCAGATACCTTAAAAGCAACTGAGGCCAATAGGAAAAGGGGAACAGGTACTAGAGAAAAGGTTAGTTCAAGAAGAATTAACCTAGAAGGTAACACCCACGCACAGGAAATCAGTGTGAGTCAAATCCCTGTATAGCTATCCTTATCTCAACCAGCAAAAACCCTTGTTTCCTCCTATTATTGCTTATACTCTCTCTACAACAAAATTAGAAATAAGGGCAAAATAGTTTCTGCTGGGTATTGGGGAGGGAAGAGGGAGGGGACGGAGTGGGTGGTAAGGGAGGGGGTGGGGGCAGGGGGGAGAAATGAACCAAGCCTTGTATGCACATATGAATAAAAGAAAAAGGAAAATAAAATAAAATAAAAATAAAAAAAATAAAATAAAACAAGGGGTAAATATGATTAAAGTATACATGTATATGCAAAGCATATGCATTATGAAAATGTCACAATGAAACCCATTATTTTGTACAACTAATATACACTAATAAAAATTCAATTAAAAAAATAAATAAAACTAGTGGTGAATCTGAAGGATGTCAGCAAGATATTTCAGAAATGTGAATCAAAAAATGTATTCTGATTGCTGGCATTGATATAAAAATAACCTTTTAAGCTTTCAGAAAATACTTTGCTTCTGTTTCAGAAGGAAACAGTTGACTAGATGGTTCCACCTCCAGGATTATTAATTATGGACACTTCTCAGTCCTGATTTAGCTGAAGCTACTGCGAGGGAACCAAAGTTGTAGACTTTTACATAGTATATTTATCTTGGGCTGATTCTGAGAAATAAAATTTTCATGGGGAAAATTAAATGTTTTTAAAATGGTAGATAATCCTATGCAAAATGAGACAAAAAAAGAAGCTCCTAAATTTTTTTCCTTGGGGTTTTATTATTGACCATTTTGGAGGAGTTGCAAACAAGTAGGCAATCTGACGATAACATTGACGTGGGGATCCAGAAGGAACAGATTTGTAAAAACAAATGTTCTCAATAATCCAATACTAGAGAAATGCAAGCAAGGAAGACATTTTTGACATCCTGTTTCCATCCAATTTTTCATGAACAATTATTCTCCCAAATTCAGTATGTATCATCAAAATTTTTGCCTGCTGATTGAAATGTTTTGTAAAGGAAAAACTTTTATTTGTAGCAAGAACCTAACTTCTTGATTGAGGGAAGGGAAAAATAACAGATACAGTATGGCACGTTTACTTTAATTCCTTTAAAGTTCAGAGACCATTCAATTGAATCAAAAATGCAACACAAATATTTACTCTTGTCTTTATATTATGGGATACTGTTTTTTTATACTGTTATGGGTTTTCTGTATATTTTTATGGCGGGGAGGGCGGATGGTACATGAGTCTGAACTCAGGGCCTCATGCTTGCTAGGCAGGTGCTCTACTACTTGAGCCATTCTACCAGTCCTGTTTTGTGTTGGCTATTTTTGAGATATGGCATCAAAAACTATTTGCCCACGCTGGCTTGGAACCACAATCCTCCTGGATCCCTGCCTCCTGAGTAACTAGGATTACAGGAGTGAGTCACTGGCACAAGGGTTTTCTGTATAAAAAGGGTCACTATGTTTCTGATTTGTACAAAATATCTTATTTGTTAAGTTGCAATAAAATAAATGACAAAAACAGCCACTAAAGTTTTAAAGAAACTTTTAGCAACATTCTTCCACTGTTAATAGTGTAAAAAGAAAATCTCACATTGAATCTTACCCATGTGGAAGAAAATGCCATGAGATATTTTACATATTTTCACATACATATTTGGCCAACCAAACAGCACAAAAAGGGACAAGCAAGCACTCACCAACTTAGCTATGATGAGTGCGTCATTCATGAGGTCCAGCAGGGGTGTCTCGGTGTGAATGTTGTAGAAGGAGTAGGCAGCTTTGAGGCTCTTATGAGCAGGGTGGTGCATGACCGTAGAGGGCAACGTGTAGAAGCTCAGGAAGTCAGTCAGTTTCCCACTGGAGCTCTAAGGGACAAAGGTGACGTCAGGTGTCTCCTTGAACAAACTGCTTTTAGCTAACTCAGTGCTCTCTGACTGGCACCATAAGTTTCTTTCCAAACAGAAAGCCACAAGTCAGACTTCTTTCTCTGCAGCCCAATTTGAACCCCTTATGTTGTGCTGGGTGGAAGCCAGGAAGAGCACAGAACTGGATGGAACTTTAGCCCAAGTGCTAGCCAGTAATTTGCATAAAGTTCTTAGAAAGCAGAAGGTCCTAAAAACAAAAAGTCCCAGGCTAACATGTCAGTTCTCTACCTTTAGGGAACAGTGATGTGCTTTCAGGAATCTGAGCTCCAAGGACTGAGGCTGTCTTCCAGGAGAAGGCAACTGAGTGAGAGCTGAACTAGCCCTGTTTTCCCGGAACACTATTCAAAGTTGAACTGACAAACTAAGCGCATTCAGACTTGGTATTTGGTACATTTTCTTGAAAATGAATGATGATGTGAGCATATCACTTCCAGAAAAAAACTCCAAAGATAAAATGTGAGCTTCCATATGCAAGTTATTGTTTTGAAAAACCTGTATCCTCCATCGTGAGTGACATACACTTTTTCTAATGATAAAGGTGGAAGAGACAGATGTCCATGAATGTGATAGTGTGATGTCTATTAAGGAAATGTCAGTGCTTAAAAGACCGATGTAACTTAGTGAAGCACTATTTTCCAAATGACCAGTGCATGATGTTACAAACTCAGGAATGGGTAAAAGAGTCACAAGACATACTTCATGCGAATTCATGTGAAATATATTCTTCACAAACTTCAATCAAAACAGTATACCATGATAGACTGAAAGCATACAGATGAATGCTTGGGGTTATTTTGTATTAAGTCCCACAGCAGTGAGATTTGCAAAAATGTAAAATTATTCTTTCACTATTTTGTGGTTTGGAAAGTTATTTTTTTATATAAAATGTGCTTTAGGTAACACACAAGTGATTTTTTTTTGTTACATCATTACATGAAATAATAAAAATCAAAATTTAAATTCTGAATATGGGAAAAATCTATAGTCCATAAAAACGCAAGCTCTCTGGAGATACAATATTTTAGAGAGCAAAGGAGTCTGAGATTAGAAAGCTTCAGATGTGCTGCCCCTAGAAAAACACAGATGTGACGATACACACCTATGATCCAGCACTCAGGAGACTGAGGCAGAAGGATCATGAATTTGAGGCCAGCCTAGGCTACATAGTAAGATCCTGTCTCAACAAAGAGATGGCCACTCTTGTATTGTTTTAAAAGTAAGAGTTTAGAAACAGAAAAATGAAGAAATCCTTCAGAAGTATCCTTCAGTCACCCCAGTGTGGATCTATTTATTACCTACTGGGCCTGTGATCCTACATCCAGACAATGCCTAATAGTCCTGAGTAAACACTTCTGTTTACAACTGATGGGACCAGACTTCCAACTTCCCAACTTCTCAGTTCAACCGCACCTGAACCCAAAGAGCTTCCAAGTGAGATAACACCTGAACAACAAATTCCAGGCTTTGCAAAACAAGGTTGAAAAAGCATGATGTTAAATTCATATGACCAATAATCATACAGTCTAGACTTTTACTTCTCCTTCCCTAAGTGGTTAAATGCACAGCATCCCATCCAAAGGCAGTTCATTTCCAACAGTTTTACAAAAACAAAAAGAATATTAAACTTTGAGGGACTGCCACCCAGGATGAGGTCATCTAAGCTGGCTTTTCAAAAACGGGAAAAGTGCTGAGTGAGTGGGTTGGCACACACATCCCAGCTACTTGGGAGGTAGAAGTAGGAGGATCACTGTCTGAGGTTAGCCCAAGCAAGAGACCATAAATGAAAATAAAACTAAAGGCCTGGTGGTGGGTCTCAAGTGGTAGAGCACTTGCACAGCAAGCATAAGGCCCTGAGTTCAAACCCCAATACTGCCAAAGGAGGGGGGGGCCGGAGGGAGAGACAATCATAGAAGGAACAAAAGAGCATCCTAATTTCCTATTAATAAGTGGTAAAACTGAGCTCATTCAAGATGGAAACTGTAAGATGTGGCTCTTTCAGGATGAGCAGAAACTCAGTCTACAAGTACTAGTCATGGAAGAAGAGGAAGGAGATGGGCAGGCCATGGTCCTTCTGGAAAATAAGCTTTAGGGCACAGTGTTTGCATATTCCTTTATCATCTTATGAACTTATCTTTACCTCCACTACAAACGTGTCGATTATGTGCTCCTGCGGCAGGAACCAGTGGGCTACTTCCTCTTCATCCATCACAGGAGCTAGATGAAACTGTTTCAGGTAACTGTTGATTAATTCTTGAACTGCTTTGATATCTTTTGGTTCCATTGGTCTCAAACCAGAAGTCTTTGTAACCTTGTTAGAAGGAAAACAATTCAATCCATGAGTTTAAATGTAAGAGGGATAAAATTATTTCATACCCAAAGTGTGGTCCAAAGACTCAGAGTATCAATATCCCATGGGAGTTTATTGGAACTGCAGAATCTTGGTTTACGTTAACGTTTGGGAGATGCCGGGTTAAAATATTCTAGACAACGTGGCCTATCTTCATGTCTCCATGTGTCAGTCTTTGGTCAGCACCACTCATAATCCAACAAAGTCGAAGGGAACACTAAGTTGATTTATGCACAGCGCTGTGAACTTTAACACTCGGCATGACGAGGCATAACAATTGCATGAGTTCTTGGGTATCTGTTTTAAAACTACTAATCTGACATTTTGGGAATACAGTTGGGGAACATATTTTATTCAACAGCCCATGAAATGATGTCATGATTTTTTCTCTTGAACAAAAATAGTAATACTGGTCAAGATGGGACGGCAAACATTTTCATAGTCAGGTATTTTCTAAAGGAGCATAGCAACTAAGTACTGGGCTTGGCTTTCATGATATACAGGTTTTTATTTTTTTGAGGCAGAGTCTTGCTATGTAGCCCAGGCTGGCCTAAAACAATCCTCCTGCCTAAGCCTCCGCTCCATGGTGGGATTTTAGGTGTGTACCACCAATCCAGCATGGTGTATCTTTTAATTAAAAGGTGATCAGAGAAGGCATTTAAGTCACTTCCCCAGGGCTTTAACATTTTAAAACCAGGCCATAGGACTAAGATGCCTACAGGTCAGGACAGGTCCCCACTTGAATTTGTTCGACTGAGTATCCTCAAAAATAGCTCCTGACATCACTTTGGCTCTCTAGGACCAGTCGGATGCCAGGGAAGTTGACACGAGACATGAGAAAACCCAACAAGTCAAACATTTAAAACTGAGAAATGTAGTTTTACTTTTCCCCCAATAAACTTGATATATTTTTCCCTTCCAGTAATACTGGATAAATTTTAGGAAACAAATAACAACATACAAATATTATTAATATATCTTTTCTGTCCTCCATGATTCGTAAATATTTTCAAATAAAAAATTTCCTATAGAGTAAGATCATAATTCCTGTAGGCCTCTAGGTAGAAGTCCATGGGGGAGAATAAGTTTTTATCTTGAGTGCCAGCTCTGAACAACTCTTGGTAGCTGTGCTGATGGATCAACGAGTCTGTGACATATAGCGCTGATTGGTTATTGATTAGTGTGGGGGAGGGGAAAGTGAGAGCTGGGAGGATGCATGCCCTACACAGACCCAACAGTTCTCAGCTTGGTTTCTACTACAGGCTGTTTGATGATGACCTGTGCAATAAGGTCATAGTACTGCAGCCTAAGTACCATTTAATAATTCAAATCTAGGGTATATAAGTCCTTGGCATTTAATAGACAATTTATACTTGGTCTTTTTGTGGCTCTCAAAGCCAACAAGTTAGAAATATCCAGTCCCAATTGGAAATAAAATAACTATGCATTTCTAAATGGTTGTGAAAAGATCAAAACCATAAAAAATGTCTTGTATACCACAGTCATGTAAAAATTATTTTCTCTTGGGCCTGGGATGTAGCTCAGTGGTTGAGCATTTTCCTAGCATGTGCAAGACCCTGCCTGCTTAGCAAATGTGAGGCCCTCTGTTTAAACCCCAGTACTGCCAAAAAAAAAAAAAAGAAAACCCAAAAGAAAAACATAAGTACATTCTATATAGCCCCTGAAAGATGAAAGTACACTCATAAGAAGATGAAAGCAAAAATGAATATCATACTTAAGTGTCACTATGAAAACAGTGTTGACATCATAGATTCAAAGATCTAAGGACTGTCAGGGGTCCCTGAGCCACACTTGGGAGAAATGCTATCTTAAGTCATAGAGAGTTAGAAAACAGGTAGTAAAGTTTACACAAGGACTCAATGAAATCAAATGTTTGGATAAAGATAGAAATGATCAGAAACTTCAAACAAGGTATAACAGAAGCATTGAAGCAGAAGAGTATTAAGAGTAAATCTGCTAAACAAACAAACAAATAAAAACAATGGCCTAGAAAACGGAAAAAATATTTACTCCTGCTGACCAGCACTGGCTACAAAATGTACAGAAGAATGAAACTTTTAAATGTGAAATAAACTATAGATGTTAAGAAGGAAAATTTAAACTTAGATAAACATGATAACCTTTTGTATAATTGAATAGAATAAAGTAGTCATGTTTTCTGAGGGGTCAATAAAAAGCAAAGAAAGATTTCTAGCTAATAAGAAAATGTTGTATTTCATAAGTAAATTCTGTATCTCAGTCAGATATACTTTCCCAGGGCCCAACTAACATCCATTACTTGTTGAACTCTGTGCGTAGAAATCTGTAAGTACTTAAGGAATTACATCTCAGTGCTCTATTAAAATACACAAAAGTAGTGTTACCTGTCAAACTATGTGGCATGAAGTGCTTTAGAGCCAAGATTCCAGAGAAGAGATGTAAGCAGTGATTATGTTGATAATATGATTTCAGAAGGACATCAGACGCTGCTCTCTAAAAACAGCATCTGATTGCACCCTGGGACACGTCTTAGCAAGCACACCCTACAGCAAAGCCAGCACCTCGTCAGATTAATTAATTTGGCTTCTTGCACTTTTTATCTGCTCCAAATTCCTTTCCTTTAAGGACGCACACCCACACGATCGGGAGTTGTGTGAAGATGTGTTTCTTGGGAATCCAGAAGTTTAGGAAACGGTAGCTCATGGTGTGTGTTGCTGCATTGCACCTGCACAGCAGGCTCTGGGTACGTCAGCCTCATGTTCCCACGTCCTCTTCTGTGACATGGGGATAATGGCCTGCCTTCCTGTGATGGTGAGGGATGTTCAATGTCCAGCACATGGTTGGCCCTGATAAATGTGAACTCCTAGGTTCAGAAGTCTGTGAATAAGGCCTAGAGAAAGGACTGTAGCAGAAATAGTAGTGACAAATCAGAAGCTGAGACTGAACCATACAGAAACTTGTAGTCAATAAGGTTCTTTTTACCCAGCACTACAAAAATATTCTTAAACACCTGGATCGCTAGCAGTGGTACCATCCAGTCACCTTTAACTCAAGAGGCACCCAGGTGATTCCTATTGGCACCTTCTAATTTTTTAGTATTGGTACTTCCATTTCTTTTGCCCTCTCTGTTTTTCTACTAATTATTCCTCATTTTCCTTTCCTATGCCTGCACATGGGGAGTGGAGAATGGAACATGTGGACCTTAACAACTGTCCTTTTCTGTCCTCACCTGCACTGCAATGACCACACAGTGGGACATGTGGTGGGCCTGGGCTTGGGGCCCCTACTGGGGGCGTGTCAGAAGCAAAGAGGCCTAATGGGGAACAACAGTGTCTGGGGCTTGCAACCCCAGTCCTCCACGTGGAGATGTGTCCTTGCCTAAGTGTCAGCCTCCACAAGCCTCAGCTTCTCCATCTGTATAACAGGGATAAGAAGTACTAACTTCAAAAGGTTACAAGAATAAACTGAATAATATATGGGAAAGCATATTATAAACTTCAGTTTACTAGGGCAGGGGAAGGGCAGTCACTATGACAGCATGGTTGCTATACAAGGAACCCAGGCCAACTATAAAGAAGATGTCAAAGTCTGCTTTTACAGCCAGTGCTGACAGTGATTTATAACCAGCTTTTCCCCATCTTTGTTATCCATGAGAGTACTGATTTTTATACAAAATTACAAAGGCTTAGTCAGGTCAAAAGCACTTCTAACACCTTAAATTCCAATCATCCTGTATAAACCAGTAAACCAGTGATAAGATAACAAAACTCCTATTCTAGGCAGTCTACATGTAAGTGGATGTTTTCCCTATACATAAACTAGATTGCTTTGGCGTTAATAAGCTGAAACTTGGGAAGATCAAGGTAGAACATTAGCTCCTAGTGAAAATAATAGGCATGCTTGCAGTTTTTATTTCGGTTTGCACTGAATTAGTAAAAGTTCAGGCAAAAAATTTCATTCAAGTTGGACAGATTCGAAGATGGCCCCCAGCGATCTGTCCTCCTGAAGTTCATGCTTTGTGTGATCTGTTTCTGTTGGGTGTAGGTGGAACCTGTGATTTGCTGCTAACCAATAGAAATGGCAGCAGTGACTGTCACTTTTAGGACTGGGTTCTGACTTGCAAAACAAGCTGCCTCTCACTGGCTTGAGTGAACCAGCTGCCATGTGTGAGCTAGGCTCTATGGGAAGCCCATATGACAAAGAACTGAGGGCAGCTGTGGCAGCCTTCAGTCTACCAGTTACTCAGGAAGTCAGTCCTGCTCACAACCATGTGAGCTTGGAAGTGAACCCTTCCCAGTCAAGTTTCAGATGACACCGCAGCCCTGGCTGACAGCTGGGTAACACTTTTAACAGACCCAGAAGCACAGAACCCAGTTAAGTAGTCCCTACACTCCTGACCCACAGAACCTTTGCAAGAATAAGGTCTGGGGGACTGGTGGAATGGCTCCAGTAGTAGAATGCCTGACTAACAAGCATGTCTGAGTTCAAGCTCTAGTACTGAAAGAAAGAAAAAAAAAAAGTATGGTGGGCTGGGGATGTAGCTGAGTGGTAGAGAGCTTGCCTAGCATGTGCAAGGTCCTGAATTCAATCCTCAGCACTACAAAGTTTTAAAAAAAAAAGTACACTTGCTGTTTTAAGCATCTCAATTTGTGATAATCTTGGTATAGAGCAAAAGATAAATAACATATCATACAAGCCCCAAATAAAGCAAGACTGGAAAGTACATTTGAGAGAGGCAATTTTGGCCAGACATCCTGGTGCACAGCTGTAATCCAGCTACTTGGGAGATGCAGACAGAAGGATCATGGTTCAAGGCCAGCTAGGGTAAAGTTACTGAGACCCTATCTCAAAAACCAGCTCAGTGTGATGGTGTGTGTGTGTGGTCCCAGTTACTCAGGAGGCAGAGGGAGGGTTGTGGTTCAAGGCCAGCCTGGCAATGTTACTGCATGAGCCTATCTGGAAAAACTAGAAGCAAAAGTACTGGAAGTGTGATTCAAGTGGTAAAGTGCTCCTAGTAAGCATGAGGCTGAGTTCAAGCCCCAGTATCACTAGAGAGAGAAAGAAGAGAAATGTGCTAGTTTAAAAAGATGGTAACTAGCTGGGTGCAGGGGACTCAAGCCTATAATCCTAGATACTCAGAAGGAGAACTGTGGTTCGAACGCAACCCCAGGCAAATAGTTCATGAAACCCTATCTCCAAAAAACCCAACACACAGATACAAAAAAAAAACAGCTCTGGAGGAGTGGCTTAAGCAGTAGAGCCCATGCCTAGCAAGCATGAGGCCCTGAGTTCGAACCACAGTACTGCCAAAAAAAAAGGATGGTAACTAATGAAGCATATTTTTGCACTCCCTGGAGCTCTCTTGTAAGCTTGATCCCCTAGTTGTATGGCATTAAGAAATCAGTAGCAGCCTGAACTCTTCTTCTCTATTACTTAATAGATTATAAACACTCAAAATTTCAAAACTTACTTGATTTGCATTCAGTTTCATCAGTTACAAACTCAAGAAATTAAAATACAAAACAAAACAAAAACCCTGGTATTTCCAAATAAGCTCTCATACTTTTCTAGCTCCTGAGTTCTCTGTGGTCTTTTTAGTTAAGATCCCCTTCCTCAGACACACAGGACCATTTGTAGACTACTGCAGAGAATCCTTTTCTGCATTAAAAGCTTGAGTTGTGACAGCTTCAAAGAACTGCCAGCCATGCTTACTTACATCCGGGAGTCTGTAAAGCTTCATTGTTCTCTGTAATGTCATATTTCTACTCAGGTGAGAAAATTTCACTTCTACCAACTTTCTGGGATTGAGGGATCGATGCCAGTATCTGGAATACAACAAAGATTTTAAATTCTAATTGATTTCTAACTCCACACATTTTCATTCACTCTGTCTCTTCTCGGGAGTTCAGAAATGTCTACTCAATGCTCATCTTCCCACACAATAATTTTATCAATTTTTTTTAATCTGTAAAATGTCTTGCATTCCTAGTTATGTTCCTGTGGGGTGTACAGCCTTTCATGTTTTACACTAAAAAGGAATCTGAAAACTTCAAACATCATTCATGTCCTAGTATGCAAGCGTTTAATGACACTGTGAGTCTATAAAAGGCAAACCAAAAAAGTTTAAAAAAACGAGAATATTTCCTCTAAATAAGTAAACTATGCTGTGGTAGGATATCTACCAAAGAAAGCATTCTTCTTTTTTTTTTTTTTAAGAAACTAGCTTGAATTTAAGTGATTCCACTTTAGATAATAGAATAAATGATTTGTAGGAAAATATACCGATGACATCTTTTTTCCTGGTTACTAATAAATGGTTATAGCATTTTTACAGTTTGACATCTTATACTATGTTTATTTGAAGCTTCCTATTGAGTCAACAGAAAGAGAAACAAACTCTGGGTGTCTTGGAAACAGCTTAGTCTGTGGCGGTCTATTTTCCCACTGGGATAACCTTTGAGAACTTGATTAGAACTAATGGAGTCCTACAAATAAAGCTTAAGCCTTCTTCTCACTCAACAAACACGCAAACCTGGAGCTTTTCTACTGACACTTACCAGACTTTGGAACAGTTCGGCAGTGCTACAGAGCATGGTAGAAAACTGAGTGTAGATGTGGAAAGAAAGTAGCCTGACACTGGACATTTCAGGATCTGTGTGTGATGTTCCCCACACACAAACAGCAAGAAAGAAACAGATCCAGCATCATTCCCACAAAAATGTGAAAAACATTTTTTAATCACCAAGTGACTATGTGATGAACTGGTCTCAATGGTCCTAGTTTCTGGTTCCCATCTCTGCTACTAACAAATAACACATACTTAGTAAGGTAAGACCTCTCTGAGTTACGCCTGAGAACAATGCTTCTAGCAACATGGCAGTAGGCTTGGAAGAGGTGAGGTAGGGATGTGGTGTTGTTACCTGCATGTGGCCACTGGCTTAGGCAGAACCACGCCAGCGGTGTACACAGCCTGAAAGATCCCTTCCAGGTTCACTCTCCTGGTTATTTCTCGAATTAACACTGGGGCTACCCGTTTTGACCTCAATTTCTTATGAACACAAAGAAAGTTGATTTCTACCATCCTCTTCACACTAAGGAATAAAAATGTTGAAAATTAGATTGAACACAAGATGAACACATTTAAAAAAAAAAGATGTTACTTTTATAAAGTTTTGAACAATAAGAAAGTGGAAGACATCCTTTAACACAATGTTAACATTCCATCATGTAGACATTTCACAAATTCAGACTGAAACAGTTTTTCCTCTGCCAACATGATGTTAACTTTAGGTCAGGAAGAATCAACCTCTTTGTTCTAACTTTAAGAATTGGGTTTTCTTTTTAAGTTTTCTTTCTAGGGCTGGGGGTATGGCTTAAGTGATAGCAAGGGAAAGGCTCTGAGTTCAAATTTCAGTACTGTCAAAAACAACCCAAAAAGCCACACAAAAGTTTTCATTTTAGAAACTGGATCAGATGTACCTCAAAATTTCTGTGTTTGTTTTTCCTGGGTATAATTACGGCAATCACTAGGGTACCCTGACCCAGAATCTGAAAAGATGTCATCCTGGAACATGAAACAAATCCCCAGGATTCCTGAGAGGGGTCTTGACTGGACCAGAGCTGCCTCTTTTCTATAAACCTCCAAGCACTTCAAAGCTCAGCAATGGCTCTGCTTCAGGTAGGCAGGCATTTTGTTTCGCCCACAATATTCCCTGAGGTCACATGCTTCATCAGTAAATAAGCGAACCTAAATACTGCAAGACACATGGCCCTAGCACACATTAGACCTTTGATTTTCATAGCTGATGTTTGACTTTCTGGGATGGAGACCAGAGCCAAAATGTAACAGTCTTATCTGACAGAGAAAAAATTTTTAGCCCTCCCAAATTTTTTCAGTATTCTTTTTTCCAGAAATAGATTTGAAGTATCTGTTTATAATTTTTGTTTATTCTGACATATACATACAAGTATGTGTCTATGTACAAAAAACATACATGTGTATGAGACTTCAAGGAAAAGAAAAAGAGAAAGGGAGGGAGGGAAGAGAGACAGATGGAGGGACAGACAGACACCGCTGTTCTCATTTTTCTTTTGGCTCACAATCTAAGTTTTCCTTTTTTTTTTTTCCTGGCAGCACTGGGGTGAGAACTCAGGGTCTCACGCTTGCTAGGCAGGTGCTCTATCAATTGAGCCACTCCATCACTCCTTTCCTGTGTTAGCATTTTCAAGATAGGGTCCCATGAACTATTCCCCTGGGCTGACTTCAAACCATAATCCTCCTGATCTCTGCCTGCTGAGTAGCTAGAATTACAGGCGAGAGACACCTGTGTCTGGCTATTTTTTTTTTCTTTTTTTTAAAACAAATTCATGCACCCAACTTCTAGAGTTTTTAGGTTTGTAGCAAAATCGAGCAAAAGCCCCTATGTAATCCCCCCTGCACACAGTCTCCCCTGCTATCACAGCCCACACTGAGTTAATTTTTAAAAGCCCATGCTAATTCTTGGGAAAGAAACACAAGAGCTGACACAGACAAGCCTTCAGCACATACCTGTCATAAATCCGAATGTTTGCTGGGATGGCACTGATGAACCCTACTAGTTTTTTATTTGAAGACACTCGGACCCCACAGTGCCACTGCAGGAGCCAGCCTGGGGGACGCAGAGCCCTGAAATTGGGGTGGACAAGAAAACCAGGCACCATTTAGGGTCCAAGAACACAGGAGAGACCAAAGACCTCCCAGTCAACGCCCCCACCCACGGTCCCTGGGGGACACACCACAGCAGGAACTCTGGCGAATAGTCAAAGCGGAACATGTTGTCGTCATCCTCCACGTAGTTCTCATTCAGCAGCGTGTATAACTCCTTGAGCTGCAAGATAAAGCGTGCGTCCTCACTTCGGAGCCCAGGGCCACCTCGGAAGCCATTCTGTGAGTGCAGGTGTGAAGGAAAGAGTTGTACTCACCACCTCGGCATTACTCAAGTCTAAGGTGTCCCACATAAACCCCTGGGGCAAAGAATACGGCTCCTGACGGACATGGTCTTTGTCTGGCTCGATGGCACCATGCGACGTTATGACTTCATCTGGAGAAGGAGAGAAATGAAAAAAAAAAAAACAAAAAAACAGAACAAAGGAGGTATTAAAAAGTCTTCTGACAATCCCAAATGGTCAGCAATATAAATAAGAGCAGATTTAGGGTGCTGGGTTTAATAGAATCTTTAAAAATATGCTATTATTTTGGCTTCCTCTGGACCACAAGAGGAACGCTAGCAGTGGTGTGGGATACCTGCTATCTCACCAGTTAAACCAAAGGAGGGTGCGGGAGGATGGGGGCGGGAGAAACTTTACGAACTCATGTATGAAAATGGAAAACTGAAACCTGTTAAACTATTCCAGGAACGGGGAGAAGGAGGTTAAAGGAGAATGCAAGGGGTGAATTCAACTATGATCTATGTAAGGATGTTTGTAAATGTCACAATGTACCTCTAGTACAACAATAGAATAAAAAAAAAAAAAATCAAAGGAGGACTACTGTACCACTCAATGACAAAGGTGACATGAAATGATACTGATTTCTCAGCCTCAATCCTAGGTTATGGATATATCACACAGCACCATTGTAAGTGATGTAGGTTCAATATGACAGCCTTTTCACACTGCATCTTTCACAAGTGAGAGTGGGGATAGTGTGATTCAGTGACCTCTGGCCTCTCCCAGCAGCAAAACTTAAAAATGAATTTCCAAACTGGTTACTTTTTTCCATCTGCACTGCTAGTCTGTGTCATCCAGGTCTCTAGAGATTTCCAAGTTCCTTTCTCCAGTTCACCCTCTGTGGAATGTCCCTTGCAGCTGGAATAAAACGCAGGCTCGTCCTCATGGCTGCTGCCTGCTTTGCGCCTCGCCTCCTCCCACCTTTCCTGTCCCTGGCCTGCTCCCAGGGCTCAGGCCACAATGACCTCATAAGGCTTGCCCCGGCTCAGGGTGTTCGTGGGGCCTTTCTCTGCAGAGGCCCTGTCCTCTGGGGTCCCAGCTGGCTGCTGGAAATTTCTCAGAGGCTTATACACTGGTTTTGCTCAGCAGCCTTCCCTGAGTACCTGAAGCCCGTCCTCCCTCCTTGCCTTGCCTGGCCACCATCTGTCCTACTTTCCTATCACCATCTCCAGAGCACATGTCCCACGCTTGCCTAGCGTTGAATAACAGTTTCAGCAAACACCTGCTGAGTGAAGGGCCTCAGAGTCTGGTTCTTCCTGTCACAGAACCTCTCTGCAGGTCCAGGGTTTAGGCCAGCTGCAGTCCCTCTGCCTAAAGTGGACACTCTTATCTTCACTGCATAAGCTCATGTGCAAGTTGAAGACAGCCTGGTATAAATTCATTCTAAAGAATATTCTTCCTTTGCTGGAGATGTGGCTTAAGCATTAAGATAGGGTATTGTATATTTTTGCTGGGGCTGGCCTGGACCTACCTGTGTAGCTGGGATTACAGATGTTAGCCATCATGCCCAGTTTATTGGTTGAGATGGGGTCTTGCTAACTTTTTGCTTGGACTGGCCTCAAACCTCGATCCTTCCAATCGCCCCCTCCTAAACTGCTAGCATTACAGGTTGAGCTGTCATGCCCAGCCCTCTTGTGTGTCTTTGATTTGGTTGCAGTACTGGGGGTGAACTCAGGGTTCAGGCTTATAAGGTACCACTTGACTGTTTTGACCGCGATCTGCGCTTCTTTGTTTTAGGAAGAGTAGTAGAAGAGCTTACTCACTCAGTTTGGGTACTGGTTGTGTGTCCCAGAACTGGTATCTGCGCTTGGCAGCCTCATCAATGTTCCTGGCTGGGCCCTGGCATGCAGACAGAAGCTCCATCGCTCTCTGGATGTCCTGCAGCTTCTGCATGGGGATGGCAGGGTTCTACAGTACAGAGACACAGAGACACAGATATGAGACGGCCACCGCCACTCTTGAACACGGGTAGATGCGTGTGTGTCTGCTGAGGAGCCCCCAATTCCTGAACACTGCCCATCCTCCTCGAAGTCTGCTCAAGGAGGCAGGTCCACTGTGTTCACCTTTGAGGGTAGGAACAAATGCAGAGAACCACAGTTCTGTACGGTGACTGGGTTCCAGTGGTTTGGGAAATCTAAAGTGGCTTCAGGACCCTGCCCACGTGTGACACTCCCAACACTGCTCCTCTGCAAGGAGAGACCAGGAAGAGTCAGGTGCCATGCATGCATTACTGCCAACAGCAGTCAGGCAGCCATGAGCCCCGGATGTGCTGTGAGGGTTAAGGCTGTGCAGCAGCAATGGAGGCACGAAGGAAAAAACTTCTAGAATGGAAATTAGGCAGACAAGGGAAACTTTAGTTCATCAAAAAAATTAAAAAGAGAGAAAGAAAGAGAGAGAAAAAGAAGAAAAAGAAATCTGAGCTTTGTGCTAAGCTGGAAGGAAATGATTAAGACAGGAAACGTCTAGCCATGCCCCTTCCTCCTGGCCACACATAGCCCTTCTTCTGATGCTGATGCCTATCTGGGACCAGCCCTCCTCCCATGGAGGACCAGCAGCAGCTCTGCTCATTGGGGTGCTCGGCACCCATCCTTTACCTGCTCCCCCAACCCAGGTGAGAAAGCAGCCTTCTTTCCAGGTAAAACACATGCTCAGTCTATAGAGCTGACAACAGCTTCAGGTTCCAACACTCCCTTCTCAAACCAGCGTCCCTATCATCTCCTGAAGAGCCCCCAGCTCTCCCTCTTCTGAATTCCTCAAATAATGTAAACACTACATAGAACATGAGACCATACTTAAATTTAAAAGGAGAGGGCAATGCCTGGGACTGAACAGAGAAATCAGTAACTTTTCAATATGCAGAATTTAGGATTTTGATGCCATTTAAGGACTATTCTCCATCGTAACTTAGAATTGGTGAGGAGAGATTTCAGGCCCTTCTGCTCTATTATGTCAACACACTGCAGTCAGGAAGGCCAGTTACAACTGACCCCCAGTGGTTTCTAAACAGCAAGCAACTTTGGACTTCTGCTGGACTCTCAGTCTGAAATCCGTGCTGTGAGCAAATCTTTCTAACCTAAGGAGCTAATCTGTCTGACATACTACAAAACAGGGTCATTCAGCATGGACTCTCCTGCACTGCATGGGGTAGCCTTAGGCTTTTCCTTTCTTTCCTCCTCTCCCTCCCTCTTTTGCTCTTTTTCCTGTGATGCTGAGGATTGAACTCAGGCTGTTGTCCATATTAGGCAAGCACTCTAGCTTTGAGGGTTCTCCATCCTGAGATGACTCAGGAAACAGAGTCCTAAAGTCTAACTGGGATAGGTTAAAGGCTCAGTGCCTCCACTCAGGCCACATGACACAACCCGGACTGCCTCAAGCTGGTTGTCATACTCTTTGTAAGCTTACATACTGATCGAGATTATAATCACAAGGACCATATCTTAATGGCATACGAATTTATCAAAGTATTTTTCCTGCGCTAATTTATTTGTATTTTGGGATCCTTTCTTTCTTTCTTTTTTTTGTGTGGTACTGAAGATTGAACACAGCTAGGCATATACTCTACCTCTACATCCCATCTTTTTAAATTTTATTTTAAGACAGGGTCTCAGTAGGTTGCCCATAGTGGTCTTGAACTTTTGATCCTCCTGCCTCAGTCCCCTGTGTAGTTGGGACTACATGCATGTAACACCATGCGTGGCCCTGGTTTATTTCTTTTCAGCCTCCAACACTACAGGTAACTGATTTTTCTTTTCTTTTTTTTTTTTGGTGGTACTGGGGTTTGAACTCAGGGCCTTAAGGTTGCCAGGCAGATGCTCTACTAATTGAGCCATCTCGTTAACCCCCAGGTAACTGATTTTTAAGAAAATAAAATTTACATCCATTTGAATCTCAAACAATACAATTTATTAAAAGACCCACCACTTCAGGACAGGTGTGGTGGTGCATGCCCATAATCTCAGCTACTTGAGAGGTGGAGACCGAAAGGCTAGAGGTTCAAGACCAGCCCAGGCAAAAATAACTGAGACTTCATCTTGACACACAAGCTGGACATGGTGTTTCACATCTGTAATCCCAGCTACATGGGGGGGGTGGATAGGTAGGAGGATCTCAGTGTGAGGCCAGCCCCAGGCAAAAAGTTGAGACACTATCGGAAAAATAACTGAAGCAAAAAAGGACTGGAGGTGTGGCTCAAATGGTAGAGTGCTTGCCTAGCAAGTGCAAGGCCCTGAGTTCAAACCCTAGTACTGCCAGAAAGTAAAGAGAGACATCCAACAATTAAAGAAATTGAGGCCACAGCATAGTTCAACTAATGATGCTTGAACACACATTTAAATTTAGCATAGAAAGGTCAAGTAGAGCCAGGCGTGGTGGCCCATGCCTGCAATTCTAGCTACTTAGCAGGCATACATAGTGGATTGTGGTTTGAGGCCAGCCTGCACAAAAAGACCCCTAACCAATGGCTAGACATGGCGTGACTCACCTGCCATCCCAGCTATGTGCCAGGTGCAATAGGATAGTAATGCAAGGCCAGCTCACGCAAAAAATCGAGAGCCTATCCAAAAATGGGTAAAGCAGGAAAGGGCTGGGGACATGACTCAAGTGGTAGAGTACCTGTCTAGCAAATGCAAGGCCCTGCGTTCAAACCCTAGCAACACACACACACACACACACACACAAATACACACACCAAGAAAAGGCAAAGTAGAGCCCACTCCCCACGAAATGACCACATGTGAAACATTTATATCTCAATGCTCCACATTTAAATACTTCCTGAAAGGAAATTTGAGTAATAGTTTTCAAACCCACAATGACTATGCTTGCCCATAGTAAGCAAAACTCAGCGAAGAGTTTTGTTTTTATTTTTGCAGTGTTAGGGACCAAACCCAGGGCCTCACACATGCTAGGCAAGTGCTCTGCCACTAAGCTACACCCCAGCCCTATGATAAATTCACAAACCCATCCATTCACCTCTCACAGTAACTCTAGCGGGAGAGAAAGGTAAGTCTACCTTAGCCCCCAGTTCAGCACTCACTAATATATGCGTATGTAAGACATATTACATTCTCAAGTGGAAAGAGGTGAGCTTCCTCTTTCTTCCACATTTGTCTTTGTGGAATACTAACCATCAACTCTGCTCTTTATCCATTATTTTCTTAATTTAATCTTTGTGGGAAATGTCCAAGTTCTCTACAACTAAAAAGTCTAGAAGGGTTAAGAGTATGTAGCTCAGTGTTAGATCACGTGCCCAGTATAAAACCCCAAGTTCAATCGCCAACACTACAAAAAACAAAACAAAGTCTATAAGGAACCCAGACTGGGCTGGAAGCATGGCCCAAATGGTAGAGCGCCTGCCTAACAAGCATGGGGCCCTAAGTTCAAGCTCCAATCCTTCCAAAAGAGGATCCAGATGAATATTTTTATTTCAGTCCTCGAGTGTAGAGCAGAACAGTTTCTAAATGCAATCCACTGTAAATTATGCTGTTATCTATGGCTGGCACAAATTTTAGGGGGGAAAAAAATCCCACTTTTTAAGAAGTTACAATGGAGAAAAGCCTGCACTAAAAGACTGTTGGCTGGCTCCTAGCTCAAGAAGAGAAAGTGTCCACCGTGGCGTGTTAAAGTTCCCCCTGTGTTGGCATGCTCCAGTTTCCTATGGGTACCCCTCTGTGAGGGAGAGCTCAGCATCACTAGGCATAGAGGGATAGGCAGAGGCTGATGACAATGGCAGAAGCAATGAGATTCCACAACTGCAGGTAGGTGGCGCCATGTTTACCCGACGAAGTGACATTTGGAACCAGGGAAAATATTCAGAAGTCAAGGTGGGTATCCTATGTGCTACCTTGGAAGCTGTGTCTAGTAGACAAGGACCAAATGGAAAAGCTAGGGAGGGAGACTCTGCTACCTTCTCTCCCACAAAATGAGGCAGGACAAAATTGGGCCAAGTAATTTTCCTTCTCAGTGATTCCTGGTCCTTTCCTTTCATGAAATGTAACTGCAACAAACTACCCACAAAACTCATTTTATGTTCAATAACGTAAACTCTGTACAAGTGAAAAAAAAAAATTGCCACTTGGGAGGTGGAGATTGGGAGGACGCAGATTGAGGCCAGCCCAGACAAAAAGTTAGTATGACCCCTAAGTGTGGTGGTTTACACCTGTAATCCCAGCTATGTGGGAGACCACAGGTCAGAGCTCACAGTTGAAGGCTAGGTCCTTGCAAAAACATGAGACCCTATCTGAAAAATAACTAAAGTAAAAAGGGTTGAGGCCATGCTTCAAGTGGTAGAACATCTGCCTAGCAAGCATGAGACCCTGAGTTCAAATCTCACTATTTGGAAAAAAAGAAAAGAGCCACAACATTTGCAAAATGGTAATAGCTACCATTTATACAGTGTTTTATGATAGAACACTCTTTAATAAAAATAATCCCATTTTAACCTCATGACAGCCCTGTGAGCTGGGGAAGGAAATAGGATTTACAAATAAGGAAAAAGGCTGAAGGAGGTGCAGTACCCAGCTTGTGAGGTACGGAGCCAGGGCCAAGTTCAGATCTTGGGGCCACTTCCATGCTGTCACGCACTATCCAGGAAAAGTTATTTCGCACTACAATCACCAAACTCATCTCTACTTCATTACGCTTCTGAGTCTGCCCCTTCTTGCTGTGGGTTTCCTGCCCCATGGGAGTTTTGTGCTTCCCAAAGCCCAGTTTGGGGAACACAAGGGCTGTGTTCTCAGCTGGTTCAGACACAGGAGGTTGCCTTGTATCCACCAGACACTTAGGTGGCACCACCAACCCACTGCTCAGCTGGCCCTCTGTTAATACGAGGCCCAGCTACACAATTACTGGTTTGCTCTAAAATGGGTGTTTCTTGTGGGATGACTCTAGATGTTTCCCACCCTTGGCAGACTAATCTGGTTCAAAGTCAATATTAAGACTTACCCATGGCTGTTCCCGCTGAAATCTGCTGCCAGATGGTGTTGTGCTAGGCAGGTAATTAGACAGACACCCAGAAAAATTAAAACGTGAATTATCTTCTAAACTAAAAGTCACCAAATATTACGTGTAACTTCACAAAACCTAACAAGCTTACAGTGACATTTCAAGTATGATCTAAAACCAAGTTCACTGCAAAAGGGGGGAGCACAGGAGGTGTCTGCACACGCACAGAAGCTCGGTGTGTACCTCTTAGTTATGTGGGTGCCAAAGTCAGTTTTGGGAAGGCTGTAAATACCATCCAGTGACTAGTGTCATTCAACATGCAGTCACGACAAACACTAAATACATGCCTGGCTCAACAGGGCACTAAGCTGCCCAGACCCATCCCATCTGCCTCAGGAACCACAGAGGTGACAAGACAACAGGCGCTTACTTTCGAAGGCTGGTGAATTTTAATCTCCTGGGAATCAGATGCAGAGTCTGACTTGGTGCCTCCAGAATTTGGCTTCTCCTTTTTTCTCTTCTGTTTCTTCTTTTTCTTTTTGGCTCCCACATCCCCTCCAGGACTTCTGTAAAAAATACAAGGAGTTGAGTTATCACCTAAAAGTGACTTGCATAAAACTAGTCACTGAGAAAAACACAGGTAATATACATAGTAGCAAATAATTACGTCAGGATGTAAGTGGGAATTGACTGGGAGTCAGATTAAGAGGTCAATGCAGGGAAATATTAGTCGCTCTGTCACATCGCAGGTGCTCCGAGGATCACGTAAGCAGGAAAACCGTAGACAGAAACCACATTTTGTAAGTCAGACAGCTTCCACAGATACTACTGCTCTACTAATCTACTTTTTACCCAGCCTTTTAAGGGAGAGATTCATGTAAAAAAATTCCATCATAAACATCTCTCAGGGACAATAAACCACTAATTTTCTTTTTGTGGTGCTGGGGGTGGAATCCATGGCTTTGCACATTCAGCTACACCCCCAGTGAAACTTCTAATCTTGAAGCAACAGAAATGAAAGAAAGTGCTTTTCTGAAGGCAAGGAATTTTCTCCTAATAAAATTATTACCAGGAAGACTGACACTCAAAAAGCTGGAAGTGACAAAATGATTAACTGGCGACACATTTCCATTTGGAATCCTTGTCACTTGTTATCATCGTCTCAAAGAGCAAAAGGTAAAAGAGAGAAGAGACAAGTTTTCCACTATGTGGGCTTCTACCACACAACTCCCAGAAGGCAAATTAAACTTTAGCATCAGGGATTACTAGTACATTACTGCCACTTAGGGAAAGTGATGAAAACAGTCAGTCAGGCCTGATCTGTTGCCACAAATAAATCAGCTCTACCTGTCCCTACTTATTTTTGTCTTGATTTTTACCGAATTAACATATATATGTATAGATAAGACAGGTAGATAGATATGCATCATGTAAGATTCAGGTATCATTTTGGTTTTTTTTTTTTAATAGTCTCACTTTGTAGCCCAGGCTGGCCTTGAACTCATGATTTTCCTGCCTCAGTCTCCCACAGGTGCCACTGCCCCTAGCTCTCATATGTGTATTATAATCTAAAGCAATCAATAGTTTTTCTGGTATATATGCTTCCAAAACTGCCTTTCTTTTGTAAGCATGTCCTCATTCTCACTATAAGTAATTTTTAAACAAAATTGAATCTTTGCATTTTGCATTTGTGATCTTTGCCTTTTCCCCTCCTTCCTCTTAGCAAAAGATCTTGGAGATCTTTCCATGCTGGGACTTAGAAGCTACCTCACTTCAGTTCTGCAGCTGGGTAGCATCAGCAGGGAGGCTATCCATCTTTGCATGTTTATTGGCCCTTTATATTGAACTACTGATTATATCCCTTTTCTATCAGCCAACCTTAAAAATGACTTATAGGTACTCTTTATGAAGTATATACACCTACTGTTTATTATTTACTTTGGCTACTTTATCTCATTTAAGCCTCATAAGAGCCGTAGGAAAGAGAAATGACTTTTTACATACATGACCTAGCTTGTGTCTGTCATTTAGATCACAAATACTTTAGCCGGTTTTGTTCTTAATAGCCGGTTTTGTTCTTAACTTTTGACTTTATTTATGGCATCTTTTAAAAAATGTTTTATGTAGCCTAATACTTAATTTTTTTTTCTTGTGACTTCTTGGCTTTTAAATCTTGCTTACAAAGGCATTTCCTATGCCAGAATTACACAAATACCTTTCTGTGCTTTTTTTTTCTCTATTATCTTAATGGTTTGTGATGGAAAAAAAAAAGTCCATTTGGAATGAAATTTGTACATGTGACATACCATGTCCTCACTTTCCAAAAATACACTTATTATAAATACAAGAGAGTCCTGCTTTAATATAACTTGTTAGTTAATATAGGGGTCAAATGGTGCTGTCCAAAGCCTAACAGCAGACAGAATAAGAGGGGCAGACAGGGCTACTTGTTGGATTTTTATTCATTCATTCCACAATTCTATAGTGAGGTCCATTTTTTGCAGACACTGCTACAGATACAAGCAGATTTAAAACATGTCCACAAATTCTTTGATATGTCTTTGATGGAGAAAGAAGTGGGACCTATTCCCCTCCTGTTTGATCTAAGTAGGCTGGTGACTTACTGTGACCATAATGGAACTGACACTGTCTTACTTCTGGGTCACAAAAGGCCATGCAGCTTTATCTGCTTCTCTTACAATACTCTGAAGACCTGATTCCCTTGAAACCTGTCATGCTGGTAAGGCCACACGTGGACCCCTTGGTTGAGACAGAAACTGAGCTCTTGCCTGAAAACCAGCCTTGATGGCCTGTCTTGTGAGATGTCTAATCCAGGGAGCCTCTAGCTGACTGTGGCCACCACACTGCGAGGCACCAAGTGAGAACCTTCCCCAGCCATGCCTTCCTCAAATCCCTAGCCCACTGGATCTGTGAGCACAATCACGTTACTGGTCTGTCACACAGCAGAAGCAACTGAAGCACAGATATACAGTGATAAGTGGAGCAAAGCCTGCCCTACAGAGCTTCCACTCATAAGGCAACAGACAACATAAAAACACAAGGCCGTGGGAAATTGACCAAGATGGTGCCTGGATGTGTGGCCTTCTGGCTGCTACAGAGGTAGAAGACCCTGAGTAAATCATCTGTACTGTTATTATACATGTAATCATGCTATTCCCTGTGCTAGGACACCCTTCTCTCCTTCCCTTCTGGTCATTCAAGGTTCCACCCAAGCATCACCTCTGAGAAACTTCGTTGCTGCCTAGTTTGAATTGGGTGCCCCAACTCAACACTCCTGCTGCACACTGAGCATCCTTTCCTCCAGCACACTGTGTTCCTGGTGCTGCCTGCTTTCTTCCTGAAGCTTCTGCTCCTTCAGATGTGTGGTGGACATTATTATCTCTAGGGCTGGGCTCTGGAGGGCATCATGAAGAAACTACCCAGCCCTTCACGTTGGGCCTGGGTAGGCAGATCACTTTAGCCAATGGGATGTGAAGATGCTCTCCTCCTAGGTGAGAGCTTTTCAGATGCTCTCCTCCTAGGTGAGAGCTTTTCAGAGCCACTGCCCTTGCTCTTTGCTGTCTCCCCTTCCATGCCAAGTCCTGCAGCCTTGGGTGCAGACGAGACATTGGGAGACAATGGAGCCTCCTTCAGCAGAGGTACCAGGTGACTCGAATAATGTCACCCTGCCTCCCCTGTGTGTGTGTGGAAAGGAAATAAACCTTTACCAACCTAAGCAATCGAAATGTCATATGGTTTTCATTGCTTCATAACCTTGGGCATCCCAAATGACATAAAATGCTAACCTCAGGGCCCAGCACTGTGGCTCTAAAGGGACTCCTTTTTCCATGAGTTATTCATGTGTCAAACTAATCAACTTCCAATTTTAAAATGGATGATTCATTCCTCTGTCAGGTCAAAATATGAAATGCACATACTGTAGTAAGAGGAACGATTTACAAAATAAGAAATTGTGTTACAGATTCCTATTTCCCTGTTTGCAATCCTAAAACAGAAAACAGCCCTCATTGCTGGAGATACATTAAGAGGTTGTCAGTGGTATGGTACCCTAGTGGTCTAAAAATAGTAATACTCCCCAAAAGAAGCATTTTATTTTCATCAGAAGAAGCAAATTTGTACTATCATGATGTTTATGTTTAAAATCATCTGGTGATTAAGGCTGTCCAGAAATATCTGGCTGGCACCTGGGCTTAAACAAACTCATCACAGTCAGGTACTGGAGGCAGAAATACCCTGAGCCTTTGGTTCAGCAATGGTGCTTTAGGCTTTTCTCCCTCCATGTGCCCAAAGCTGGACCTTATAAAGTGATGACTTTGCCTGAATGCTATTGCGTGATCTGTAGCTGCATTTATACGTGTGGGGGACAGAAGACTACTCAGACCGGCATCTCTAAGACCCCGAAGGCCTCACACAGGTAGACACTAACAACAAACACCTGTTGGCTGAATGAATGCATTAATAACTTATTGAAGTGGTTCCAATCACATTGCCAGGTGGTAAAATATCTCTGAAAGCTCAACTTCTCCCACCTGATGGTAAACACTATTTCAACCTAACAAGTCTTCACTGAACATCTTCTTGGTGCTCAGCACTGTGTAGGGTGCATATGCCCTTGTCTTCACAACCCAGGAAGGTGCCCTCTTCTGCCCACATGCCCTATTTAACTGCTGCTGATTAAGGCTTTTCTAGAAACCACTAGGGCACCAGGACTTGGCAGCTATTCTGTATAACACACCCAGCTTACAATAGCTCCAAATTCCCATGAAGCTTTCTCACAGAGGGTGCAGAATGAGTGGTTGCAACTGGTATGGATGCTGTCAAATAGTGACCTACCCAACTGGATGAAAATGTCTCCTCCAATCCAGACATCTTTGTCTTGGTTGGATAAATTTTCTCTGAAGCTGCAGAGACATTAAAAAGTAAAAACACTGGATTTTCACCCAAAATTCTCTAAATAAATTTGTATCACCTAGTCTATCATTTTAGAACTTGTATACAATGAGGTTTTCCATCAGGTGCATTTTGGGAGCTATTTAATGCTACTCACCTAAACTACCCCTCCAAATTGTATTGCTAAAATTATATCTTCTTATTTTGGTATAATGGAGAAAGTGCACTCACTTTTATTAACTCTAACTTACAAATGAGATTTTTTTTTCCTCCTCTCTTTCTCATCCTAACATTAAAAATAAATTGTCAGGGAGCTACAAAAATTGGCACTAAATGAGTCATCTTTCCTCCCAACTCCCACACACACACTCCAAATCCCCAAATTTCCAACCCTCAAGTGAGCAAAAGCTACTTGTCCATTCTTAGAACCCTTAAGAAAACGAGAATTGTGAGTAAGAGGTGACAAGTATACCTCTTCGCATCACTAGGATAACTATCATCAAAAAGATTATGAAGGGCTAGGAATGGTGGCCTGCAACCTGAAATACTAGCACCTGAGGCTGAGGCAAGAAGATCACAAGTTCAAAGCCAATCTGGACTACATAGCAAAACCCAATCTCCAAAAAAAGATAATGAAAGTGCTGGCAAGGACCAG